TCAATGACATCACTCGCTGAAATACGAATTCTTGATAATTGTATTTTCACTATAAATATCACCATAGGCTGTCATTCAAATTAAATTATTGATATCAAGAATTGATTTCTTAGTTGAAATTCCGATTTCACATATTCCTGTCTAACTTTGAGGAGAGATCCCCCGATATGATTGTAAAGCGCTTTGATATGAAAGCACTATATAAATGCCTCATTGATTCATTCATATCAGAAGTCCAATTCTTACTAGTAAAAATAATTTTTTAAAAATATCAATAATTACTTTGTTAAAAAATATAAATTCCTGATATCAAGAACAGTAAACAGGATTTTTTTTAAAAATCCAGATAAATATCACGAAGATTTTTGTGAATATTTTGTCATGTACTATATCAAGCTGTAATTGTCAAATTATGTAAATAAAACAATTAACTATTTAGAATATTTGCTAGCTATAAAAATTAGCCTTACAAAGACCAAGTAGTTAGCTTATCTTATTTCAAAAATACTTCAAATGTCTTTTCCACTACAGCTCAAACAAAATACACAATTCAAGATGTTGTGGAAATGGCATTTGCTGGTTTAGAAAAATGACAATTATCCTGTGATGTACAGTACATGATGGATATTGTAACATTTAGAGTTAGCCTTGGTCTCCCCCTCACCATCATGATGCTTCAGGCCAAAGATTGATTGGACCTGCAAGGCCCTGTGGACACGCTCTTTGGAAGATCCGTCTGGTCACACACTCTCAAAGCTGCAAAGGTGTTCAGAATAAAGGATTAGCGCTGTAGAGTCGCCTGGAACAAATAACATTTCTCGTTTCCTCATTTATTTCACACTCTGCCAAGAGTCACTGGCACACTTTCAAGGGTTGTCTATCTATCTGGCTGTCGGGCCATTGCAGGACATTAGTTCTGCTCTTACACTTTTTACTCCTAACTGTATCTTAAAGGGAACCTGTAAGACTTGCGTTCATCTTCGGAACACAAATGAAGATCTTTTTGATGAAATCTGAGAGCTTTCTGTCCCTCCATTGACTTGACAGATACGCAACTACCACTTTGACGTTTTAAAAAGTTCATAAAGAGTTTGTAAAACTAATCCATATGTATTGAACGGTAAGTTTTCTGAAGAGACTCGCTTTATATGATGAAAAGATTGAATATAGGATTTTATTCACATATAAACATTCATCAACTCAAACATCAGTTGAGGTAACGGAAGCTCAAGCATGTTCGCTTGACTTGCAAGAACCAATGAGGTTCATTCTCGTGTTACGCATCACCTTTGAGCTTCAGCGAGAACCAATGAGGTTTGTTCTCTTGCGTCAAGCAAGTTCGGTTGAGCTTCTGTTTATGTTCACTGATCAAGTGTCAAAGTGGTAGTTGTGTAGCTGTCAATGGAGGGACATAAGGATCTCAGATTTCATCAAAAGATCTTCATTCTTGTTCTGAAGATGAACGAAAGTCTTACAGGTTTGGAACGACATGAGGGCGAATAATTAATGACAGAATTTTCATTTTTGGGTGAACTATCCCTTTAACCTTTTTTTTTGAAAACTCTCAAAAGATAGCAATGGATCTGAGCAATGAACACCAATGGCATCATAGCAAAGAAATATCTAAAAATGGCTTCGGAAGGATATATATATTTATATTTATGCTTTAGGTTGTTCTTAATGCACAGCAATGCATCTCCTTTATTCTTATAACAGTGCATTTCATTTCCGCTCGATAATTCTTTTTTATTACAAAACATTTTTTGGCAGAGACAAAAACAACATTTAAGTTATCAAGAAACATTTTTTTTTTTAAAGAAATCAAAACATGCAAATTAGAACTTTAACATAACATACACAGACCAAACTCAAGCTCACCCTTTATACATCAAATCATATCTATTAAAATTTTGCTATCAAAAATGTACATTTGTATAACTTACAGTGCACGTGATCTTATAAGAGCAGATTACTTGTTCTTCTTACCGACAAATTAAACAACAAAAATCTAAACTACATTAAGCAGAAAACCATTAACACTGTGAATAAAGATATAAAAAGCAAGTAAAAAGAAATAAATTAAAAAAAATGTACTGTTTTAAAGCCCAAAACACATTGACATGACAAACTTGTGCGACAGAAGAAATCAAAATTCAAAGTTACCTAAAACAATAGTGTGTTCATCATCCCTTAAAAGACAAAGTCAAACTCATTTTCATAATACGGCGTGACGTAACTCTGCTGAAAGAGACGTTGCTGGGCAAAGTCATGCATTTGAACTCCTTGGAGATGCAGATCAGAATGTGCTGAAATTGTTCCACTCTTTTCATAAACTTTTGTTTCCATCAATGTAAAGCTGATAGAAGCATCGCTTGTGAATAACAAAGACATAAAACCCCCCGACTTATGCATCTCGTGTGCAAAACAGTATTACAGACAATATTATCCTCCATTAACTGATTATTTTGGCAGAAACAAAAGTCGAATATGATCTTTCAATAAAAACAGTGCCAAACAATCAATCTGACTGTTAAATTCTTCATACCTGCCAGCTTCACACCTCTTAAAAGAAAAGCGGAGTTTATAAAACAATGTTGGAGGTGTTTTACTGGGACTCGACGCCTGTTCGCATCTTAATAAAACCGTCAGCTCAACACGCAGTCGGAATCCTAAATGTTGTTTGGTCGACGATTTATACAACGCGTACAGCAGAAAGACTCGACACGAAAATGCCTGAATGCTTGTACGTCAAACTACGAGTTGAAAATATTGCAAGACTAACGGCTGTGAAGATGGTTAATAAAAAAGAAAAATAGGGAGGGATGCCATCGCCATCTTCCAGCGTGGATGTGATTGTGAAAGCCCTTAAGAGTGTGAGGGATTGATTGCTGTCTTGTGAACCTCAGCCCTTTCAGTCGATATATAAGAGTTGAACAGGCGGTGGATGTTCAGTAGAAGAGACAAGAGTGTGCACACTATTAAAGAAGCACAACATTTCAAGAACACTGATAAAGATGACGGCAATATGATTTCGAAAGCCACCGATTCACATATACAAACTTTTTGAAATCAGTCGGGGGTTCAGACTACACGATATCAGTCGTTTGACGTAGGGTATTCAGTGGGCGTTGCTGGCGAACGATAGCGGAGGCGCTTCAGCAACCCGATGAGTACTGGAGTTGACGCCCCTCTGGAAATGATTTGTCTATGACGCTTTGCCAGACCATAACTCAGTTACAACTGAGAATGGTCTGGTTTTAACCAGGCTACTAAAACACTGCTTCGCATCTGAAATCGCATACTTCCCTACTATACAGTAGGCTAAAAACAGTATGTGACAAAAGAAGTCAGAATTCATAGTATTCATGAAAGAGTAGGCAAAAAGTACACGGATGATCTACTACTTCCGGTGAGACTCTGAAGTGTGCATATAATAAACACTTTACTATCCCATGAGGCCACGGGAGAGGATTTGTGAATGGCAGTGAAGCGACCAAACTGACGCTGGTAGGTCACATGATAATGACAACATGGCGGATGTAGTACATCCAGATTACATTCATACTATATAGAACATACTTTTTTAGCAGTCGTGAAGTAACTACTTATTCAAAATAAGTACCTACTCAAGACAGCATGCGATTTCGGACGCTGCCAGCATGCGATTTCGATAGATAAGAGTGTATTTGTTTACACTCGTTTTCCTGAAGTCAGTCACTAGTTCCGCCTTCTCTATGACATCAAACGTCGTTAAAGATGGCATGCAATGATTGGTCGAGAAGCAACGTGTAGTCTGACTTGTTTCTTTTCCACGAGGAGTCAAAATCTGACACGTTTTCGACACGTTTTGACAAATCTGACACGACTATCGTAACAGACAAAAATATTGTGTATTCTAAACCCGGCATAAGTTAGTGATGGTATATAAAGTGATCTCTACACACTTCACGTCATAACTATCAATAAAAAACACACAAGGCAGAAAAAGGTGAATCTCACAGAAACTGTCAAGAAACGTCAAAGTATATTTCACATCAAAAGCACCAAAAGAGAAATTATTTTGCATTAAAAAATTGAAAACAAATTATAGTACTCGTTTTATTACCATAATGGCAAAAATAATATATGAAAAATTTAAGTTTAATCATTTTTTCATGATTTTAACTACACATGGTTGCATTTGTACACAATTTAATTGTTCTGATTTTAATTTTGTTTTTAAATGCATACAAGTAAAGAGAATTTGGGAGAGAATTCCCACAATTTGGGAGAGGGAATTGTGATGGTATATATTTAATGGTCCATATAATAAATATAATATAATATATTTTCTTTCTATATCATTTTTTCTTGTGATTTTGAGTAGAAATACAACTGACATTTCTTTGAGATTCACTCAAAAGTGTGGGTAGTCCTGTATTGTAACTGGTGATTCAGTGACTTTGTATGGTCTGACTTCATAGGTTTCTAAAAATGTAAAACGTTTAAAATACTATACCATGCAAACATCGAGAAAACTTCTGAAAGTAGTGATATGTAAATGGCCTGTACATGATTCACATAAAGCTTTCCTCGGTGGATCGTTAAAATACATTAAAATGCAAGTCCACTCTAATTCTCACATATGGCTTTGCTCTCTTGTGGCTTTCTTGTCCACTATTCCCTAACATCTCATCTTTCACGGATCTCAGTTTTACGCGTTTCAATCGTCTTTGCGGTTAAAGAACTCTCTAAATGCGAGTGGATGCCCACCACATGACATAGCATTTTTACATTCATTTTTTACATATCTATAGTCTCCTCAAATGACGAAAAACGCCAACTGAGTTTCCTTTATAATGTAGGTCAATTCCTTGGCATCGTGTTTACAGAGAGTCACTGTGATTAAAAATCCTCTTTTCCTCCAAATGACTTGAAAATATTGATCTTGCCAGCACAGGGTTTAACTCCTGAAGAGTTGAATTTGTTGGCATATCAAGGTTATATCATTTCGCTTAGTCTTTTCTATAGGTCTTTTTCATCCTGCAAAGCCTTCGCAACACATTCTCTCACCACATCAGAGGGATCAACGGGAGCTGTCACAGTTTAGGACCCTCGTGGGGATTCAGAGATTGGCTATTCTGCGTCTTGGAATGGGAAGCGGATGAGGAAGAGGAGGAAGTTGAGGAAGAGGATGAGCTGCGCCTTGTCTCCACACCGGTACTAGTCATTTTCATCTTCCGACGTTTTGCTAGCGGCGCATTGTCGACACTCTTAAGGAAAAAACCCTCACGCTTCCCCCGGTTAAACGCCTGTGGGAACAAAGAGATATCATGATGCATGTTGAAAAAAACAGGAGAGTCAAGAAGATTCCAGGTGTAGTGATCTTTCAAAGGAGGAACAGAAATCTCTCAGGTGTCATTAAAGGGCCTCTATTATGCATTTTCGAATATTACATTTGACGTGTGTAAAATAGCTGTTTGTGAATGTAAAAGTTCTGCAAAGATTTAAGGATCAAAGTGCATGCGCACCAATAATGTGATAATTTCCAATAACACGAGCAGAACTTTTCACTCCTGTTTACATTGCATTTTCATAGACATATACACTAGACGTCACCTTGGGGTTCTAAGCATGCGTCAAAACCGCCGCCATCTTGGAACAGGGGTCTTGTCATAGGAAGTAGCTAGGTAACGCTGCTATCTCTGCCTTTACTTCTAATTAATTGATGGTGGCGGACTTGTGTTCTGTGTATGATGTTTACACGAATGAAATCTGAACTAGGAAGAATGTTTTTTGTTTTTTTTTATGTTTCTGGAATCAATGATAAATACAAGTCTGACCGTGGGAACGAACCAAAAAAACGAGAAAATCGCATTCATGATGATTTATGGTGATTTGATTTCCGTTAGACCTTTGTCTACATTGACGCTAATGCATTAAAGTGGAGGGGCTACCCTGTTCCAAGACGGCGGCTCTATTGACGCATTCGTTCTAATGAACTGCCGTAGCCAAGGCGACATCTAGTGTATATATCTATGCTTCCTCGTCTAATTTCTGTCGCTCTACATACGTCATCTGGTATAATTGAAACGATTGGCTATGAGCTACGTACAGGCGCATTTGATAGACATTCTTAGCACCCAATAAACGGCTCTGGGCATTCGTAAACCACGCCTCAAATACGAGAAAATGTACATGTGGTTCCCAGACCCATGATGTTAGCCAGGCTAACGATTATGAGCTTAATCGCATTACTTTGATCGCAGAATTGTGTTTACGTGAGGTAAAGTTTAATCGCAATAGCCTACGGTCTTCATTGGCTGCCCGCCAACATCTACTTTGAGACTGTCTGGTTAACTGCAGTTTTAAGGAGAAAATACTCAGTCACCATTGACTGAATTTGCACATGGTTTGTCTTAAAGCATATTTAAAACACGACATAGACATATAAACAACATTAAAAGCTTGATTTTCACCACAGCATGACTAAGTGTTTTGTTTTTTTACCTTGGATGTATGTAAACCTATTGTAGGAGAAACCTTTAATATAGCATATAAGCATAATAGATGCACTTTAAAAATATCACTTGTGTTTCGAAGATCAACAAAAGTCTTATTATCAATATATTTTGTACTGTATGTAGATCAACTGGTTAATCTCCCTTATGCTGGGGAAGGAAAGGATCTACCAACATCGGAAATAATAAAAGCAAACATTATTTTTGTTATTCCGGTATGGCTATTAACTGTACATAACAAATAACATTCCTCATGTCAAGAATTGTACTCTGGTGCATCACTACTCAATACAGCAGACAAAAACGCAAATACTTGACCTTGTAGGTGGCATTGACATAGGTACGGACAGTCGGGCCGGTGGACTCCAGAACATCAGGGGTGCAGAGAGGGGTGGAGGACATGACGCCACCTCCCTGAAGCCAGGCGTTCTCTTTCAGAGCCGAGAGCTTCAGCCGTCGCTCAGGATCTACGGTTAACAAACCTGTGAAGATGAAGAGGGAGATAAAACTTGAGATGGAAGCTAATTTGGGGGCTGACAATATAAGGATCCTTCAGCCACTAAACCACCATCCTCAGGGACCATCACACTCTTTCCTTCCACCAGGGCACTGAACCTCATCCATCTCAATCTAGATGATCAAATGACAGCTATAATAACAAGCACTTGTGCTGAAATTGGACTGAAATGCGTTCGAGAGCCTGCGGGTCCCTGATGGCTGGGTCAGGAATCACTCATCGAAAGCTGTGGAGTGGTATAAAGGTATTAAAACGTATTTTACAGCTATTTCAGGCCGTAATCAATAGAGGCTCCAAGTATTGGGAGAACGCAAGTAAATTTCACATGTCTCAGTGCTCTAAACCAATAAAGATTGCAGTTCAGTAACTATGGATGACTTCATAAACTAGAAGATCCTGCCTTTTCTGAGTGAAACCTCAATTGGACCCTAATCTTAAACCTGATTTAAATGACACACATTCAGGTTATTCAAATGGATTTTCTGTGTAGGGAAGGATAATATCCAATCTCAGAAACTGCCTTCTGATTTTGGGACAAAACTGAAAGAAAAAATTAAAGGGGATCTACAGCTATATTCAGACAGTTATCGTTTTACACCGGGATATAAGGGATTTTCCAAATTTACAGGGGCTAGTCTGTGATTTTATTGCCATCTGAATCCAGAAAGTCAGTGTTTTTCTCCCACCACCTGCGCAAATGTTTTTAACGAACGCCAATGTCGTGTGTTAATTTAATTGCCGTCTGAATCCACATCTCAGAGTTTGCAAGAAATGATCAATCCAAAAGTTGTTTTGTACACTTCAACTACTGAAATGCTGGAAACTGTTTAGAGGAATAATTTAAATAAAAAATGGCCTATTATTATTATTATTATTATGATGCAACTAATCATTTTACTAGTTACACAAGCAGTTGGGTCAAATGTTTACCTTATGTAAAGAGGTTGTGTTAACTTATTTCTGCTCATTTTTAAAATGACATCCATTGTAGCGAGACAGAAAACCATTTGAACTACAGCTTGACAATTTTCCTCTTTTTAGGTAGGGTATAGAAATGTATTCAAATGATAAATAGGATATTATTTTCCCGATTGTTAAATTAAATATGAATTTATTCATATTATTTAAATAAGTACACCTGTATTTTTGGGGTCAGAACTGCACTACATTTGTGTCATCGAAATGGAATCCGTTTACTTCTGTTGCTAGGTAACAACAATGCAGGAGAAGGCGGCAAAATGGATAATGTTGTGTGCCTCACTGTTGCGCTTCAGCACATCTACTGCAAATGCACTACAAAGGATTATCCCTCCACTCCGCTTGCAGTGTCAGTCCAGCTTGTCAGGAAAGTGAGTGGGCACACACACACACACACACACACACACGTTGGGTTTCCATGTTTTATGGGGACTTTCCATAGACATAATATAAGGTCTTTCAAGGTGGCCGGAGGGGGCGGGAGTTATCCAAAGCACATCAACTGTTACAGGAGTTCCTCAGGGATCGGTTCTTGGACCTCTCCTCTTCCCCATATACACTATATCACTGGGACACAGGCACATGGTTTGTCCAATCACTTTAATGCTGATGACACTAATTTTATTTATAGTCTATCACTAATAATATACAAACTGTGTATTGTATCCTCTAACCCTAAACCTATCAATCACCGAAAACTTTATAAATTTTTACATAAAAAAAAAAAAAAAAAAACATAATTCTGATAGATTTATTAGATGTTTTCCTCATGAATATATTGTTGGGAAATTTTGTTCCCACAACGTAGGGTTTACCAGGACCACACACACAGTTTGACTAAATCATACGTCATCCGTAGCGGTTCATTTCCGATTGCATTAATATCAGCAGCGAACCATAACGGAGATCACAGGAACCGTACCCCAGACCACGGAGGTATGGTTTGTGGAGGTGTACCCGAGTTTGTAAAACAAGACTCGCATCATTCAAACAAACCAAACGCAAATGAACCCAGGTGTTCAATATTAATAATAATAAAGTCATCCTTTAACTACATCTTTTTTACTACCCAAGTTTTGATTCTTTCACTATAAGTACCTCTCACTAGATCTTTGGCCTCTTCGGACACACCCTTCCAGGCTTCTCCTTCCAATGAGAAATCTCCCTCTTTGATCTTATGCATGATGGCAGCTGCATGCGACGATGTCATGCCTTTTTTCTCACTCTGGAATGGAACTTGACCAGAGAGCATGGTGTACTGACAAAAAAAAACATTAATAATATCAGCATGTTACATTACATTTTTGTAAAAAAAAAAAAAAAAAATCTTTTGGGGGGTGGGGGGGAAGTATAATAGGCCGTGAGACAGAGGGTTGATTGGTACCATTTTGAGGGATTAAACCACATGGTGATTTTTGTGTAGGTATATGACCCTGTATTTGAAAAATGTGTGATAGCATTAGATTCAAGGTAGTTTTTGGTTACGGAGGACGATTTTCAAACATATGTCAAGAAAAAGGATAAATGAATTTATCTTTAAATAAATGTTACATTTTATTAAAAAAAATATTAAATTGTATAAATTTTTATAATAAAAAAATATAACATTTTTTAATAAATTTTTAAAATTATAAAAGGATAAATGTTTCTCTCTTGTAGTCACTGAACACCTTACCTGGAGGTAGGATGATATAAGTGTTGATTTCTAATGAAAGCTACCATAGATCGGATGCTATCACACATTTTCCAACACTAGAGATGTGTACCTTCATGAAAATCAAAAAGAAATTTAATCCCTCAAAATGGTGCCCAAATTTGTGGTCCCGTCTCATGGCCTAAGTAAAGTTTACTTTTGGAATTTATCAAAATACCAGAGTAACATTTTCAAGTAAATAATGTGTTAATTTTCTCTATTTAATCAATTTAACGTAACATAACATTCCCCGACACTGACCTTTCCCCTGACTAAAACAATATGGCAGCCCAGGCAATACATATAAACACTCACACCTACCAAAATCACCCCGAGGCTCCAGAGGTCGCACGCCTGGTCATATCCCGAGCTGTGGAAGAGCTCAGGCGCGGCGTACTGCAGGGTGAAGCAGGGGGTCTGCAGGGGGGCACTCCCGCTCCCCGCTGGAAACAACCGCGCAAAACCAAAATCAATCAACTTCAACACGGAGTCATCCGACTCATCAGCAAACAGCACGTTCTGCCGGTGGAGGTGAAAAAAAGAGAGACAATACGTGACAAACTGCTATGCATTAGCACAATAAACCACAAGAGGTTCTACGTTACAGTCATTTGACTTCATGTGGATGTTTTGGCACTGTTGAACCAATTATAATGCATCGCAATGTATTGAAACGTGCAATATTGTGAGGCGGTTGATCTCTAAGTGATGGCTGAAAGATCTGTTAGGAAGAAAATCCCACTGATGAAGATTAATGTCGACGGTCGTCAGATGTGGAGGGCTCATTAAAATTCCACAGCGCAAAGACGAAATCAGCACATGGGTAGCCTGGCACAGAGTGAACGCTGAATACATAACATCACAGAAGTCAAATCAAGCAAACTATGAGTGATGATCACACAGCTGACAGGAGATCTGAATGAGAAACTGAGTAAAGCGCGGCCAGTTAGTACTGCGACAGATGCCAGCATAATGCTTTCCTCAACGCATGACAGCATCCTTTTATACGTTTAGAGAAAGAATTGATTAAAAAGGCACTAAGGCTGCTCATTTCTTCATTCTATGTTAGTCCATCCTTGCGTTCATTTATCTGTTTGCTGTTCAAACCTCAACAAATCTACACATTTCTTGATGCATATCGATTCTCATACCGAAAAAGTTTCAATATTTTACTCATTTATTGATAAACTGATACCAGCTGAGCTTTTTCACTCTCTTCTCTCTCACAGCGGGTTGAAACACACCGCAGTGTGCGTTTTAATTAAATAAGTGTGTGCAGCTCATGATCTGGTGTTTGCACAGTAAATGCAGCTGAGCCCATTTTCTGCATATGCTGTGAGTTTAGTGTGCACTTGGGACACATGCACCAGTCGTGCTTGCTTTATTTGTTCCCACATTCGCATAATCGCCAACATTTTTGTGGACAGATGATTACAGCATTTCGCTAGATTTGTAATGGGAAGGTATTGTATTGAAGTTATACATTTGAGTATCATGACAACATTAGTATTTGTGATGCACTGAAATTTTAGCAAGTAGAAATACTACATTTTGATATGAAACAAAGTCTCAGCTTTCAAATTATGTACATTTTATGAAATTTAAGCAATACATGATACATGAAAATTGGTGGTGACAGATCGCTGTTCAAGCGGCACGTGAACCGATCATCCCTTCCTCTTTTCTACTAGTTATAGCACAAAATAAACATGAATGAGCATCAGAAGATCTCCTGAAAGAAACATTACAACTTACTAAAATGTATGTCTCGTGATGTATGTAATCGTTCAATTAGTGTTTTAACCGGGGAAAGATGTCAATAAAACAGCTTGTAAACAATAACTACATTTACATCAGAAAAACCATTCAATGAATTTTTAGAGCAATATATGTGCTACATTACATATTATGTTTTTACTTAACCTGTTGTCTTCATTATTTGATTTATGTTTGAATAAATCTGCCATGATTAATGTCATTAAAATAAAAACTGCCTTGTGTGCAATTAAAATGTTTATGTACTGCTCAATTTGATTTAGAACTAAATTTGATTAATTAATTGATTATTAAATACATTACTTTTGGTTTTCAGCTCAATCAAAACTTTATTTAAGGTTTTGGTGTTTCGATAAAAAAAGCTGTCCTTTCCTCATTGTGCTGATCTGTTCCACTTATCCATCATAATCTACCTAGATTTTACATTTACTGAAGGAAGTGTGAGTGGTGCTTACCTGTGCAAACCTCACTGACACAATGATAGGGTGTTTAGAGTCATTTTTTTCGAGTGGTTACAAGCAGGGTTCGAAATTAACACCCGCCAACCAGCCAAATGTGGGTAAAAATCAACTGTGGCGGGTAACGCTGTCAAGTCACAAGCCAATTTGGAGTGTTATTTATTATGTTGGGGAAGTCCGTGTAAGCCAAATCTGTGCAGATTTAGCACAAATACTCAACTCGTGAGTCATCATGATATATTAAAAACAGAATCTGTGCATATCCGTCTTACTTGAACATGCAACAAATAACAAATACGCAACAAATAACGGCACGCTTGTTCATTTGCACTGAAACAACAGCGAAGATTAAAAAACATTTGGTTAACAGAAAAAGACATTATTATTTTCCAACATCCTATTTTGATGTTCTTTGTACTGTATTGATCTGTCAACCTAAAACACATTTTTGGAGAAAAGAATGAGGATGAAAGAGGAAGGGAGGACATGACTGGATGACAGGATTTAGTTTGAATAAGAAATTCATGTCTGAAATCTGAAATTTCAAATATATATATATATATATATATATAAGGTGTGACGTAGTTATTCTGGTTCTTTTATTTTTTTCTTTGGCAAGTAGAAGTTCTGAATGGCCAGTAACTTAAAAATGTAGTAGCCAAATTGGCCCGTGAGTGAAAAAGTTAATTTCAAACCCTGGTTACAAGGCTGTTGCTAGTTAGGGGCTAATAACATCTGTAATCCTTTCTCTCTGTATCTCTCTACCTCTGGTTTGAGGTCTCGATGTACGACTCCAGCCTCATGCATGTAGCTGACCGCTGACACCAGGCTCTTCATCAGCTGACTGGCCTCCCATTCCGCAAACATCTTCTTTTTCCTTATTCGCTCCAACAGCTCGCCACCACGCAACAGCTCCATGACCAGATACGTATGGTACTGGGAGAGATTGATCGGAGAAAATGGGAACAAAAATAATAGTAGTAACATAAAGGGATGGGGTTTAAAAAAAAAGCAATACAAGAGAACTAAATTGTATTCTATACGTGACCAGGTATGTACGCAAAGGCAAAAAAAGCTTCATAAAATACTAATTTTAATCAAAAAACTGCAAACAAATTTAAGGATATGGTTATAATTAGTCTAAAACATTATAATTAGCTTAAAAACAGGAGAATTGTGATAGCTAGGTACATGCTGTGGTGCAAAAACATACCTGATCGGTATAGACCTCGTGGAGTGTGACGATGTTCGGGTGAGATTCACACTGGCGGAGTGCTGCGACCTCTCTCTGAGTCATGGCCTCCATCCTACAATGACAGAAAGACTCTGAGAAGGGAATCGTAAACGATAATATCGTAATTGTTGATTTAACGATGTGCGAACTGGCATTATCAAGTATGTCACTCACTTTACAAAAACACGATGTAGCCTATTAAAATGCAGTTAAAATGGACACAGAAATTATTTTGCGCATCTTAGAGCAACAAACACCAATGTTTCATTACTGAATTAATCAGCTTTATTGATGAATTATTTGAGTCAAAGACACTATAGTTTAGTTTCTGAATGAATAAGCTGTTGTGAACGAATCATTTGAATGAATGATTCAATGGCTCACTCATTGAGACCAAGCGTGCCGCACAAGCCCTGAAAAGTGAAGCCAAAGCGTCTCGATCGCCCCCAGGTGACTGGTCCTAGTATAGGTCATAAACCCCGCCTCCCCATGTTATTCAACAGGACGTGAGACCAACCAAACAATTAAATTACACTTCAAATATCTTTTTTCCAAAGATGGTTTCTGTAATATGCTATCCTTTCTATCACGCTGATGTAAGTTTAAGTGTCTGTTTTTAAAATAAGTTTGTTTTTAGTTAGTTACGTGATGCTCTAAAAACGGTGGTGTGACATCATGATTGACAGCTGTGATTGACAGGTTCTCTGAGCAAAGTAGTCACTGAAGCACCAACAGACTTTTTTTTCGGGATCTTCAGAGGACTGAGGAGATTGTATTTACTTTATTTTAAAAAAGCCTTTTGTCGTACTGATATTTATACAATTTGTTTATATGAAAGGTTTCAAACTTAAAATGATGCAATAGTATTTAGTTTTAAATTTGTTATTATTAAGACACCATTTTAAATAGTTTTCTTAGTCTGTTCATTTGTTCGGACAGTTTCACTACCAGACATTTTGGAAGTTTAAGATAACAAAACATAAAATAATATATATTATTTAGATGTACTAAAAAAACATAGATTTTATAGAATAAAGTAACAATAATCAAATTTATCAAATTGTTTATTCAGGATATAATGCACTTGGACACAAAAATATGCACGGCATGTCATTGACCCTCATACAGTGAAAACTTTGCAATATTTTATTTTTCCATTTAATTATTAAAGTTCTGTACTAATTCTAACTACATGTTAAATAACCCTACTGTACCTGAAAAACTTAATTTATTCAATTCATATTTTTGTTATATTATATTTGTCCTATTGTTTGTAATTAGCTTTTTTCTTATTTTTAAATGAGAAATTAGATAAAATAACACAAAATAACTATATTGTGATGTACATCGTTATCGTGAAATAAAATGTCATATCATGAAATAAGATCATATCACCCACCCCTAGTTTCATATTTAAAAACATTTTGTTTCAATATTCAAAATTTTATTTTTTACAATTTACAACTCATAGTATTATTTACGCAATTGTAATTGCAGTGCAAATGTGTATATGCCACCTCTGAGCAATATTAAATGCATAGATGAGCAAAAATGTACTAAATGCCACTTCAGATGCAGCTTCTGTGCCACCTCTGCAGTGCAAACATGCCTTTTGATGATGATGATATTATTGGATTGGTAGCAGCCCTATAACGTTGTATTATTCTAATTTAATTTATTGATTAAATGTAAGAATTTGACAAAAGATTATTGATACATCATAAAGTCTAAAAACAGTTATTCATGAAAGGCCTAAATCAGCCAAGGTACCAGCACAAAAACAAAATATTGTGTTGTAAAATATTATCGATTTATTGTTATCTACAAAATACCAGAAAATATAGATACACAAATTTTCCAGTCAACACCCCTAGTGCTAAAACCTTTTAGATAGTGTTTTACCCTTTTTTTTTTTCAGTAGTTTTGAATGACTTTTCTACTAAACGAACATATATTTTTAGAACATTGTGTTCGTTTTCTCCTGATGCTTACCTTTGTTACGGTAATTCATTCGTAGGAAACCTCAAGTAATGACTTTAAAACCGGAAGTGATGATATAAAGTATGTGACTTTTAATGTGGTTTGGCAATGAACAAATCTGGTTTAATGTCTGTACCTTCGGCTGACGATTTTCACAGCGTATTCCTGGCCACTCTGCCTGTGTCTGCACTTCCTGCAGACAGAAAAACTGCCCTCGCCCAGTGGCGCCCCCTGCAGGCACAGCTCATAATGCTGAAAGAACTGAGAGTCCTGAAAAAAGACAGAAGAAACAATGATGTTTTAAAAAAATCCCCCACACCCCAGAAAAAACTATTTTCAAAGATTTTTTTTTTTTTTTTAAACAGGCAGCTGTGTACCTTTAGCATAGAACTGCGCTGGACAATAGCAGAACCAGGCCTGTCAACATTCACATGAGCGTCCAGAACATCCGCCATAACCACATTCTTATTGAACAAGATAGAAGGAGCCACAAAGGAGTAGCCCTGAGAGAAAGACGAGACTGGATCACTACAGAGATTGATTAGGCAACAGAAAGAAAAAAAAACAGGTTGAACCAGCCAAAGTGGCTTGTTGGTTTTAGATATTCTGGCAGATTATTCTATTCTTTAAAAAAAAAGTTTTGCATAAGTGGATTTGGAGTGACAAGTTGAGCAAGTAAAGATTCATCACTTTTGGGTGAATTATTTCTTTAAACTGGTCTAACTGGTCTCCCAGCCTGGAAAAGCTGGTGTTTGGCTGGTTAGACTGGTCTGGTTTGGCCAGCTGAGGTTGGTTCAAGCTGTATGTTTCAGCTGTTAAAGCTGAATAAAAGAACATCATGGAACAGAGTATACATGGCAGAGTAGGTGTTGAAAAGTGTGTTGTGACTTGATCAAGGAGACTATGTATTAAGTTACCGAACTGAAACTCTATGTGTACAGTTACACTATCTGTTGCTATTAATAATGGAGGGCTGTGGCAGGAAAGCAGATTTAATGTATTGTATGCATGTATGTATCTCCATGAAAGAGACACAGGGACGGGTGTGCTTGTGTGCGCGCGAATACCTGAAACAGACGGTCCGTACTAGGTGGTGTGCTGGCAGGGGAATAGACCGGATCCATTCCTGTAAACTCCTCGGCAAAGTTGCCCACATCCAACTCATTACGTAGCTCTGGTCGGAATGGGCTCTGAACCTTTTTCTCTGCCAAGTCCGACCAGTTTAACCCCTAGAGAGACCAACCAGTTGAGGTTTGTGACCATCTACAGTGACACCACAAAGTATGTGGACACCTAAGCCACTTAAATATGTATGAAGGTCACTGTATTACATAACAAAGTATCAAGTACCAGTTGTTCGTTTGTTTGTTAAAAAAAAAAAAAAATCTAAAAAAAAAGATTTTCTGTTTAAACATTTTTATACAACGAGGTTTGTTTTACAGCTAATGGCGAGGGAGGGAAAACGGGACTTCATTTGATCCATTGGTTGGTGACTGGATTGTAAAAAAGTAAGAGAAGCATACCAAAACGGAAGCCGATATGAATGCAGTTAGCTTAAATGCAGTACATACTTGCATACGTCGGCAGAGACAAGTTATGTCATAGGAAGCGCAAGTTATGAGATGTTGATTAAAGATTACTTTAAGTGTGGATTGTGAAACAGTCAGGCTTTAGAAAAAAAACCCCACTTTTTCAAAGGATGGAGCAATGAAACAAACAATATTGACCAATATTATTGAACTATTCAAAACCAATAAACAAGCATTACAATTTCATACTGTTATTAAAACGGTTAGCCAATCATAAGAGTAGGCATTAAAGGGTTAGTTCACCCAAAAATGACGAGAATACTTTTTGTGCAAAAAAAAAAAAAAAAAAAACGACTTTATTCAACTATTCATTTTCTTCTCTGTGGGCCTCTGAGTGAGTTCACGTAGTGTAACAGCGCAGCGCTTCTGTGTTGTACGTCAGAATGTAGGCTCACTATTGGCCGACGCTGGTCATGTATGTGATGCGTGTGACGTACAACACAGAAGCGCTGCGCAGTTTCACTACGTGAACTAACTCGAGGCCCACAGAGAAGGAAATGAATAGTTGAATAAAGTCGTTTTTTTTTGTTTGTTTGTTTTTTGAGCACAAAAAGTATTCTCGTCGCTTGATAAACTTAAGGTTGAGCCACTGTAGTCACTCGGACTATTTTAACGATGTTTTTACTAACTTTTCTGGGCCGGCAAGTATCAATAATAGGGCTGGGTATTGACACAAATTTCACAATTCGATTCGATTTCGATTCACAAGCTTGCAATTCGATTCGATTTCGATTACGATTCGATTCAATATTGATTATTTTGGATATCAGGTACAATACATGGCAAACTTTTTCAAGGAAAATAAATCTCTTAACTAATGCTGTAAACTATGGGAGTCAGTTGTAGCCTACTAGGCTTCATTAGCCTACTATAATTTTGAAGGTAAAAATTAACTGATTTGTAGCTATACAAACACTTAAATTACACTTATTTATTTTTATAATAAGAAAGTTATATGAAATATAAACATTTAAATGGTGGCTGTCATAAAAACTTGCCAGATTTATTCAAACATGCATTAAATATTGAAGAACATTAAAAATTATAATGAATATGTAATATGGTGCATATATTTAGCTAAATTCTCCTCTCTAGAGTTATTTTTTCTAGCTGACTAACTGACTAAGTTACTAAGTTTAATGTTTTTTCTGAGGTAAATGTGACGTTACACATGCCATTGTTTACTTGCTGTTTAACTGACGTCTTTCCACGGATGAAACACTGATTGAGTGATACCACGTTACATGATACGGATTTCGAAGTTGTACTCTATCTTTTAACACACTTTCAGACGTTCGTGTATGTTTATTTGGCGCTGTAACTGGTATTATTAAGGCGTAAGAGGAGATCATGTGCGCTCCGCGCTGCTGCTTCTCTTGAGCTGAGCCAGAGCGATCTCACGCCACAGCGCCAAAACGGTATTTATGTTTTTGAATTTCGTAAGAAAATGGACGTAATTCGAAATTTGAGACTTTATTTCATAATAATAGTCACAAAGCACAAAGATTTTTTCGATTTATTGGATGGGATGCACGCTACAATGTTCTGCGCGCTCATCAAATGAAAACAGGATGACTAATCGATTCTTGAGATTTAAGAATCGATATCGGTTCGTAAAAATGAGAATCGATTAATATCGAGAAATCGATATTTTTTACCCAGCCCTAATCAATAACATAGAAGCCTATTCATTTTTTCAATCTTTTTGAGAGCTTTCTGTCCCTCCGTTGACCGCTTAGACATTTCAAAAAGTTCATAAAGAGATCGTAAAACTAATCCATTTGAATTGAGCGGTTTAGTCAAAATTTTCTGAAGAGACTCGATCGCTTTAAATGATGAACAGATTGAATTTAGCCTTTTATTCACATATAAACATTGATCAGCGAACAAGTGTGAGTTGATGAATGTTTATATGTGAATAAAAGCCTAAATTCAATCTGTTCATCATGTAAAGCGATCGTGTCTCTTAGTTGTGTAGGTCTATGGAGGGACAGAAAGCTCTCAGATTTCATCAAAAAGATCTTCATTTGTGTTCTGAAGAGGAACGAAAGTCTTACAGGTTTGGAACGACATGAGGGTGAGAAATTAATGACAGAATTTCCCATTTTTGGGTGAACTATCCCTTTAAATAGACATGAACACAGTTAAACCGCGCCATCAGATAAGCGCTAAATAAATGTCACTGTCTCAGTCAATGATCTGGGCCCTCATAAAACACATTCGGATGAAACTGAACATTGATTTTCAAATTTTTGGTGCATCGCTAATTAAGAGATTACAACCACATTAAACACAGAGATCAAATGTGTGGAATAAAAACAGCTGAAAAGCAAAAAAAGAACCTTGAAGAAAGGATGACATTTGATATCCTCGGCGCCTCGGGGACCAGAGCCCAATCTCTTATGAGGGTCTTTCACAAGTAACTTTCGCAGGAGATCCTGAGCCAAGGGCCCAATGATCGAGGGGAATGGAGGCTCACAGCGCAGGATGCGTCTGCCAGAGACAGAAAGCTACTTTAATTCTGGGAAATAACTTACAGGATGCAACCATAACAGTATCACTGGGAGTTCAAACACTGTGTGTATATGGACGTGTGGAGAAAATCATTGGGATCACTGGAGGTTTGCCTGTGTGTGGGCGAGACTCACTTGGACACCTCACTCTGGGAATTTCTCTCTCCTTCCAGAGTAAACGGAGACGCTCCCGTCAACAGCTCAAACATCAGAATCCCCAAACTCCACCAATCCACTGACTACAGAAAGGGAAAGAAGGAATTATTACCACTATTTTACATGTCATCAATCAATATGTGGAGAATCTCTCGAAAGCCTGTCAATAGCCCTATTAAGATGGTAAATGTTTCTCATGGGCACGTTAGGTCAATACAACATTTACAGGGGCTAGGAGGGGATTTTATTGCCGTCTGAATCCAGATTGTCTGTGTTTTTCTCACACCAGCCAAGTAAAAATTCCCAGGTTGAATTACAATGTTTTTGCCAAACACAAAGGTTATGTGGTAATTTTGTCATCTGAATTTTGTCAATCTCTGAGTTTACAAGTGACAAACTTTATACAGTTATTGAACCAAACTGAATCAACACTAAACTGACTGAATAATGACTATTTACTAGGGGTGTAACGGTACATGTATTCGTATTGAACCGTTTCGGTTCGAGGCTTCCGGTTCGGTACGCATACAAGCCGAACGATTCATTGGACCATTTTTCCTGCCGACAAAATTCGCGCTGGCGCGATCACCACAACGTTGCGCAACATCAAATGGCAAGCGTAATGAAAGCGGAACGAAACTGCGCTACTCATTATATTGTGCTTCACGGACCGTTTATCAGTTCGGACCAGCAACATCTCTGCAGCGCGCGCCGATCTTCACAGCGCTAAGAGATCCAGTAAAGAAAACATTTGAATTCGCCACAGAAGTAATAACATCGCTGCGAGATCTAGTGAGAAGCATTCACATTTCTCCATTATTAACCGTAGATCTCTATTAGATCAAACAGCGCTGACGTGGACACCAGGAGAAACATTGTGCCGTGAATGAACTAGTAATACTTTACGTCCACAGACCAGCAACATTCACCATGGATTTAATATAGTAACACTAAATGTAACCAGTTTGGCTGGAATAGTGAAATGCTTTCAAGTACTTCACACATCTTTTTCCAGCACTTCAAAACTCAAATATTATATAAATAAATATTATATAAATAAATATATGAAGAGTTCAGATGCAAAAGCCTCTAAGTGCCATTTGAAATTTTCTTCTAGAATGATCATTTTTATGAAGCTTGTATATTTAAGTTCAGTAATTTCACTCAAATGACAATTAATAGGTAATCTTCATTGCCATTTAAGTGAAATTACTGAACTAAAATATACAAGCTTGATAAAAATGATCATTCTAAAAAGAAAATTTCAAATGGCTTTTGCATCTGAACTCTTCATATATTTAAATGTTATTTTAAATATGATGACCAAAACATTATTTGTTCATCCTTCAAAGATGACACCCATTTATAAACCTGAAAGTTTCAAGATGTAGGAAAACTCACACTTATTTAAAAAATATTTTTTCTTTTAACAAATAGGAAATTTCTCTGGCATTTCTTACTTTTTGCTGTATCGGAAATGTACCGAACCGTGACTTTAAAACCGAGGTACGTACCCAACCGTGATTTTTGTGTACCGTTACACCCCTACTGTTTACAATTGTCTTTTAAGAGGTGCTTTACAGCAGAATTGAATTCTTTTTGCATCATTGACTCATCATTTTCCTGTTTATCACTGTAAAGCTGCTTTGAAACAATCTATATTGTATAAAGCGCTATATAAATAAAGGTGACTTGACTTAAATCACCATCCGTGCAAATTTATTTTTACAGACATTCCCACGAGAAACAATTACCGTCCGAATAAAAACATGCCATATTTTTGTCATATTCTTGACCAAAATCAAAAGTATAAACGTATATATCTGCAAGAAATTTAAGACCATTAAGACGGACATTATGTAATAAAAAATCAACTAATTTTAACCACAAATTAACCTTCTCATTACAGGAATGCAAAAGTTATCATCACCAAAATTTGTAATACTTGATTTTATGGCTATAATATGGAAAGAGAGATATATTATTTAAAAGTGAATGTGTTTATTTTTATTTAACATTATTTAACAAATTTAACATTACAAATACATCACACCTTAATGTGCAGAGGCAAAATATAATTAAGACATTTGTAGGAAGATAGCTTAAATTACAGCAAGGAGAATCATTTATGTAAATAATAGCAATTAATTTTTATGTGCATTATGGGATATCGCATAAAAAAAAAAAACATTTGATGGAAATGCTAAGATGCACATAAATTCCAAAAATACACATAAAAAACTTTTGAGCTCAAATGTGGTGGATACATTTTTATCCGATATGACAACATGCACATAATCTTATATGCACATAAAATGATTTCACCCGCCCAAAAAAAACGTTTCTTTGTGCAATATCTCCCTTTTGCTTTTGTGAGATTAATCAGATAATTTTCTCTCACCTTGCCATGACCAGATTTCCCTCTGATAATCTCGGGTGCCATGTACTCTATAGTGCCACAGAACGAGTACGTCCTCTCTTTCTACACATGGACAAAGCATATCAGCATGACAACTGCTCACTGGGTCACAAGGCAATATGGATACAATGAGATAAAAATATAAACTACAGTTATTATTTATTCGTTTATATTTCCCCACCTCCTCTTCCAGAAACTCCTTACTCAGCCCAAAGTCTGTCAGAACCACATGACCATCACTGTCCAACAAGATGTTCTCCAGCTTAATGTCCCGGTACACAATGCCAAGCTGGAAACACAAAACCAAATAAGGTTCTTAGAAAAAACCTGATAATCTGTTAACAGTCTCCATAAAAAATATCACCATAATCTCTTTTTTATAGCTAACACAATTTTAAAGTTTGATCTAAATTTTTGATTTCAGTTTGATAAAAACGTATAATAAAATATTATTGATAATTATAGCTAATTATATTTCTCCCAAACAATCATTACAAATGAACAGTATTAATAAAATTTAATTAGTTGCATAAGTGATCTTAACTTCCCCAACTTGTATATCTGTAAGTTTGCATTTAAAATTTATCAAATGAAAACCCTGCAGTAGCTAGTAGTACCTTGTGCAGGTGCTCCAGGGCCAGAATAATTTCCCCCACGTAGATCCTCACCTCATCCTCGGAGAAATGATCTCTCTGATACAGGTGCGTAAACATCTCTCCTCCACTCACATAGTCTTGCGAAACAAACACACACTCACAACATTGTCCAAACAACATCAACTTACTAACGGACAAATAGCTAGAAGTCAGAGGTGGGTGGAATGACCAATGTCTTAAATCATTGGGGATGAGTAATTTTACATCACAGTAACAGTGTATATAACAACACAGTTATTACTGCTGAAAACTTGAAGACTACACCATATATATATACATATACACACACATATATGAACCTAAAATTAATATATTTATACTTTTATGTGATTCATAGTAATTTGTGCTATCAAATCGATTAATCGTATCTAACATAAAAAAAGTTTGTATAAGTGTATCTATATATATAAAAACACTTAATATTAATACATTTATAAACTTGTATGTTAGTTTATAAATAGCTAGAAGTCAGAGGTGTGTCGATGACCTATGTCTTAAATTATTGGGGATGAGTAATTTTACATCACAGTAACAGCATATATAACAACACTACCGTCCTATATTAATATATATTAACACTATATTAATATATTTTAGACGTGGGCATAGATTATTTTTTTTTAATCTAGATTAATCTAGATTAATATTGAAATTAATCTAGATTAAAATGGCTTATTTGAATTCTCCCGAAGGCATTCAGAATATGTGTGCTACCCAAATAATGACTAAAAGTAAGTCTTTGAGAATAGTTTGCCTCGCGTAGGGATGTGCATTTCTGCCAAAAATGCCATTCGACAATCGAGGAGCAAAAGTCGAATATCGTAAAAAAAAAAAAAAAACGCAATGACAGAAAGGGAGGCCAATTTCATCTTTAGCGATTTGTCATCAAACAAACTGTTTATTAATTGAACAAGTAACATGTTTTCGTCCTTTTTTTTTAACATAGTAGGCTAATTGGAAGAAGAAAAAAAACAATACGCACGACAGTCCGTTTTTGCATCGCCAATGCTCGTTAGATCAAAAAATAATGTCATCATATGCCATAAGAATTTTATGTGAACCTGCCTTGTTACTGCAATAGCCTCATTTTTAAACAAATTAGTTTCAATCAATGTAAACTATTCGTGTGATTATGCCACTGCGCAATACACGCGCAATACACACACAATGTATTACCTGAATGAAATGAAATCGAATGTATCGTCCTGTGGAATCATTCATTCACAGACAGCTTACGAAGATGTTCAACTAATAAAGATCTTCATCGCTGGCAAAAATATGATGCATTTGCAGATTTGCATTCACTAGACTAGACTGTAGATCGGCCACTTCATCCAACGCTCTTGATGCTCTTAAATCTTCCTGTTTCGACTCCGAGTGTGAATTGAAAGCGCTTCAGACGATTCAGTGCGCGAGGAACTGAACAGATCAACTGATTTGCGAACCGATTTAGACGGATCATCTGACAACTTGTTTGATGAAGTCTTTGAACAGAATCGACTCAAAAGAGTGATTCATTTGTAAATGAGCGTCGCTCATGCCCATACAAAGGACACAGCGCGCTTGGAATAAACTCATTTAACAACGTATTGCATTAAAATAAAGTAACGAGAGGAACGTCGCCCAACGTAACAAAGTAAAAGTACACCTTGTGTCCCTGACAGGAAAATACCCTACTGCGCGATCTGTGACAGTAGGCGCGGCGTCATACTACACATTAGAATTGCGCGAAAATATAATGATATTCGAAAAAGCTATTTATGATCCCAACCCAACTTTGATTAACGGCGATATTTTCTTTATCGCCCGATAAGAGTCTCACGTTAACGCAGCACGTTAACGCCGATAACGGCCCAGCACTAATATATTTATAAACTTTTATGTTAGATGTGATTAATCGATTTGAGAGCACAAATTTAACGCCATTGTAAAAAAAAAAAAAAGTCAATACACTAATTTTTCGAAGTTGTAAATAAAACATGCATATTTTTGGAGTACGTTTTACAAGAATATACTAATTCAGTCTATCTACTTTAAAAAAAATCATTATGTTAATTTAATTGTTTCTTTGTGATTAATTGTGAAATATACCAGTAATGTAAAAAGTCAGTCAATTTGCATATTAAAGCAACACCAAGTAACTTTTCCCCTGCGGTCACCCTACAGGTTGGAAGCGGAATTGTCCGTTACCGCTGTCGTAAATAATTTAGCCTAGCGCAGCCTACTGTCGCTTGCACGCTCGCTGTTTATCCAGCACCGGCTTTGGAATGAACGATGTCCACAGACAAGGTAGAGTATGTTGCATGATTTCATGAAAGTATGATGTATTGCGACATTGCAAAAACTAAATAATGACTATTGTAACGCTTGACGTAAAGCAAGTCAAATTTGTAGTTTTCTTATATCTCATTAGAACTACAGAAACGCGACCCGATCTGGCAATCTTACATAGCGTGGTTATAGCAGATAAAGGACCGCAAAGCGAATCCAGAAGTGCCTTTCACCCTGTTACGACTTAATGAACCACTGAAACGATTTTGGAAACATTATTTTAAGGTAAAAAATCTTACTTAGTGTTGCTTTAATGCTGGGTAACGCGTTATTTCGATATCACGCTCCTGTGCTTACCTAGTATGAGATGCAGTTTGGTTTGCGTCTGAAAGGCGTAATGGAGGGTGACCAGAAAGGGTGACTGGCGAATGTGTTCCAGCACCTGTCGCTCTGTTCTAGTGTGCTCAGCAGTCTTTGCCTTCTGAACAATGGCTGCTTTCTTCAGAACCTACAGGGGCAAAGATCATAAAATCATTTCATAATAAGAATGTGACAAATAACAGTAAAAATAAAGTAATAATAAATACATTTCTTATACTTTATTTTATTTCATGCAATAAAAATGTTTTTTTTATTTTATAGTTTTAGTTAATGATAATAAGCATGTGAAGAACACAAGAAAAAAATAGCGGTAACATTATATAACATTAAACAGAATGTCTCATTTGTTAACATTAGTTAATGTATTAACTAACATGAACTAACGATGAGCAATACATTTGTTACAGTATTTATTAATCTTTGTTAATGTTTGTTAATAAAAAATACAGTTTGTTCATGTTAGTTCACAGTGCATTAATGTTACTGATGTTGACAAATACAACTTTTGATTTTAGTAATGTATTAGTAAATGTTGGAATTAACATTAACTAAGATTAATTAATGCTGTAGAAGTATTGTTCATACTTAGTTCATGTTAACTAAAGTAACCTTATAGTAAAGTGTTACCAAAATGGTGATTTCATTCAAATCTGCTGTAACAGTAGACAAGTGAGAGCTGTTTAAACTAACATAATGGCCAATTATGTTCCAACAGAGTATTTATTTCTATGATATGTTTGAATTATTTAAAGATACCTGTATTTTTAAAAAGAATGTCCCTTAATAAAAAATAATAATAATTTGTAAACCTATTGAGCACATTATAACTCTCAGAGCATATTTCAGTTTGTTTTTACTAATTGAAGGACAAGCAAAAATGAATGTGTGATAATAGACAGTACAAACCTTCATGGCGTAGAGTTTGTCTTTATCATGGCCACTGATTTTTCTGACCAGGAAAACTTTCCCGTAAGCTGATAAAGAGAAGGAAAAGCATAGATGTAGCTATTTAAAGGGATAGCTCACCCAATGTGTATTAAACAAAACCTCGGAGTCATTTCTGCACTCAAACAAACAACGTTTGAAATGCTCACTGCATCTGCCAATTAGACTGTGATAGGAAAATGTATTATGAATTATAGAAAAATTACTTAAATGCTTCCTGTAATTCATGTGTTGTTAATAAGCCAGCATTAAAGATTCACAATGTGTTCGGGCGTATGCTACGTCTAATTACATGTCTGAAGTCTCTAGTTGATTATTACACTTAACGACTGAAAAAAAAGTGTTTGGCTCATTTGCAGTGAAAAATAAATGTTGGAGATATAAAAGTGAATATTAACACATATGTTGCTGCTAATTTATGTATAAAATGTGTTAGATATACTCCACAATTACAACCTCATGGCCATCATGCATGTGATCACTTTCTTTCATAATCACTTTGTCTGAGTATAAACATTCCCAATGACCTTTACAGGATGGACAAAGCAGTTACGGGACGGGACAGGACAGTGCAGCGCTCTCACCTCCGGTGCCAAGCACTTTGAGAAGTTCAAAGTTCTCCATGCCAACTTTCTCAGTGTATCCTGTGAGGTTTGCTGGGAATGGACAAACAGTGTATTTACACAACAAATCTTGCTCTCGACCCTTTAAATCCCCACACATACATATTTGAATAAAAACATGTTAAACAGTGCATGTAGACATCAGACCAATTTACTTATGGCCGATAACCTAAATGACTGAAAACATAAGATGGACAACTCTTTAAAATTCTGTCATTAATTACTCATTAAAGACTTTTGTTCCTCTTCGGAACACAAATGAAGATCTTTTTGAATCTGAAGATCTTCTGAAATCTGAGAGTTTCTGTCCCTCCATTGACACTGACAGCGACACAACTAGGCCTACCACTTTGACGCTTCAAAAAGTAAAACTAATCCATATGAATTGAGCGGTTTGGTACAAATTTACTGAAGAGACACGACCGCTTTATATGATGAACAGATTGAATTATTTCACATTTTATTCACATTTAACGATCAGCAAACATAAACAGAAGCGTAACACGAGAATGAACCTCATTGGTTCTCACACATCAAGTGAACATGCTTGAGCTTCCGTTTACCACAACTGATGTGTGAGTTGATAAATGTTTAAATGTGAAAAAAAGCCTAAATTCAAATGTTCATCATACAAAGCAAGTCTCTAAAGAAAATTTCGACTAAACCGCTCAATACATGGATTAGTTTTACAATCTCTTTATGAACTTTTTGAAGCATCAAAGTGGTAGTTGCGTAGCTGTCAATAGAGGGACAGAAAGCTCTCAGATTTCATCAAAAAGATTTGTATTTGTGTTCCGAAGATGAGCAAAAGTCTTACAGGTTGGGAACGAAATGAGGGTGAGAAATTAATGACAGAATTTTCGTTTATGGGTGAACTATCCCTTTAAATACCATGGTACACATCAAAGTAGTGGTATTGGCATCAGCATGTTACCACCACTTTTGTAAAGAAATCAAAACACACCAGGTTAAATGAATGCAGTCACCTACCATTAGTGATCTCGAGTTTAACGGTGCAAACTTTACCGCTGGTTTCCCGGTCGGAGTCTTCACCACTGCCACTACTGTCTCCTGACATGATGGCTCTGACTTCTACAGTATTTGATCAGTAAAGTGATTTTGACAGCCCGCTCTTCCAATGCACAAACATCTAATTCATGTACAGCAAAAGTCGACGGGTTTCTGTTATAAAGCGAAACTTTGCAATTTATGACAGGGTGAATGACATGTTTTTTGTTTTTGTTATTATCTCAGCTCACAAATCCCTTTGACATCCTGCTGTGAACACTAATCTTCATGCACGACCTAAATATTAATCTCCACGTTTGATAGGCGCGCGGGCACAGCGATATAGTTTAATATCTTTCAAAACAAGGCGACGATGCACGGTATATTCAACACTTGAAATGCAGTTTATTGATTATTATGTGGGCCATAAATGGCTGTTATTTCCGTATTTCCAACTTCGACACAACTGTCGTGAGGTCGTCTGCAACCGCAGTGAAGATCGCTGCGCGAGTGTTTACATTTCAGCTGATCTCGTTATCGCTGTTTTAGCTTCAACCCAATCAAATAAAGCGATATTTGCTCCGCTAACGAGTTATACTCTGGTAGCGTACGTGCTAACTATCAACGATGACAGATCACGTTAAAAATGTCCTTAACAGCGGATTGACTAAAGCTGAACAAACGTATTTAAGTCCTTTGCACCTTCCTTTCGGGTGTAGTTATGCCTGACTCGCGTTAAAATATGCGTTTGTTGTGGAAAGGAAATTAATTGAACGATAAATTCCTGGAAGAAAGTGTAGTAAGGACCATTTCAGCTACGGAAGCCGAAGTAGTGCGGCTGTCTGATTCGCGAACCAATTGTTGTTATGAACCGGTTCTTTTTATTGATTTGGTCGAACCAATTCACCTCTTAAATCACTCGAATTGTGAACTTGACTGTGTTCATATTCTTAAGGATGGAAACATAAGAAGAGATGTGCTGCATATGTTTATATTTATTTCGTTACAAAACATGACGTAAACGCAAAAGGAACCCATCTGTGCTATGACTCGAAAGAATCACTTTCTGAACTGGTTCATTAAAATGAACTGTTCGAATGAACCGATTCGCTGAAATGATTCTGACTTTCCGATGGCAAGTGCCGCTATTGGAATCGGTTTCAGAGATGTGTGGTTGGGTTGGGTGGGTTGGTTCGTCTGTGTAGGTGGTGGTGAAAGAGAAAAGCTGGTGCAATCCAACTTGCCAACTCCCGTACTAAAGGACAGCCTCTCCCACTAACGACACTTTATCTTGCACACCCTTTTTGGATCTCAAGTTGTATTTACATTGTATGTCATGTGGAAGGTCGAGCTTTTGAGCTGTTATCATTTAGATTGCATTTATTTTAGATTAAGCTTGTTATTGCTGACAGATGAGAGGTTAATAAAAAAATGCTTTTGTGCATAACACTTATAGCAAGGCATATTGGCACACTATGGGGTAAGTTGTCACAAAGGAAACTTGACAGTAATAGGAATAGCTTACTTTAAAACTATCTTTAAATATATTATAGGCTTTTTGAAAAACAGAATATGAAATACAAAACAATTTATTTGTATTATTTATAATATATTAAAAAGACATTATGTTTTGAATGATGCCTCTAACTATTCCATTATGACAACTTACCTTAAAGTGTGCCAACATGCCTTGCTATTCACCTTATTTTTCAGGTAAGTGCGGGCGTGGCCATTTGTGCGGCTTCCTGTGTCGTTCGCTTCCAGTTATTTTCAGCTGTACAAAACAACTCGTTATGCTGCTTGATATTGCAAACTGGTATTTCACCATATTACCTTAATTATTTTGCTGTTTGATTAACATTAAAAACAGAGACGGCAGCAGGAATATAGGCTGCTGTCACTTTAAGAGCTAATGCACAGATCCAATAAACTGTTACACACGTTTTATTTACGTTCACTTAAGACATAACTGACCATGTTATGTTTACAATGATACTTGCCGAGACGGGAGTTTTACATTATTTTGTTTTAATATGTCTGTTCAAGAGCTAGAAGACGTAAAAGAGAACTTAATTTAGTATTCATGCGTTGTCTGAGACACAGATTTCTGGGCGCACGCTTTGGATATTTGTCTAACGCATAGAGTTCCCTTTCACATCTTCTTGCGCTTGAATATTTAAATTGGGCTTAAACTTTCGTGACTATTTCGTGACGTTGCAGCACTGGCCTGTCAACTGTCACGAGCATTGCTTACGTTTGTTAATGTTCATGTTCTCACATATTTGCATTGTTAGAATTTATAAAAATGTTACCGGCCAACTGGCTATTGACCGTTTCATATACTTACAAACACCGATTTTTACTCGCATTTGGTGCTTGGCGAGTGTTCATCTTAGGCCCTATTCATGCATGCACACATTATTGTTGTTTTAAATCTCTCTATATACCGTTTGGGAAAATTGGATTTTTTTTTAATGTCTTTAAAATAATTCTCTCATGCATTTATTTGAGGACAAATACATTAGATTTTAAAATATATTAAATATTTTTAAACTGTGTTTTTGAAAAGCAGTGAGCATAAGAGACTTCTTTCAAAAACATAAAAAACCACAAATTATTCTAAACTTGTAGTCGAATGCAAGTTGTATACTACAAATATATATATATATATGTGTGTGTGTGTGTGTGTGTGTGTGCTAAACGGATTGACATGAATTGGAGTTTGGACATTCATCTTCCCTCCTGGTGTTAGTTATAATCGGATGCAGTGTGTGTGAGTGCTGGTGCAGCAGTTTGTGTATTAACAGATTAGGGCAGGTTAAAGGATAAAGGACGCAGACACACTGGGCTTTCACTGTATACTGTCATCAACCATCATCTTTCATTATCCGGCACCTGCCTCGGACATCCAGCTTATCTACATGAGAAAGTGGGTGCGTATCTACCCGGCTCATGTGATCGTGCAGAACTTTCTGCTTGCTTATTGTATGCATAAATGCACCTAATGTGTACCTGTGAAAATTTGAAAGAAATAATCGATAAATAAACAGAAGTATGGGGGTATGCATCTATTTCCACAAAATATCACTACTCAACAAAGCAGGTCAAAATGTCAGATTTTATTAGACCTGACAGTAGTTTTCTGCGAGTGCAGTACAGTGTTTCATAGCAGAGCATTGAGCATCTACACCATCTTTTAACACTTACAATGCATTTAATTCCATGCTGTATGCAAAACCCAAAATTATTTAATGACAATTAAGTATTTATGTTTACAACATGCAATTAACACTGAATGAGAAAAAATATGAAATTGTCTTCAGATTTTTAATAACAATTTGTCACATTTATAGTAATTTAATTAATAATTTCCGACATCAAATAATTTGCTTATCCACATTGCAAGCGAAAATACAACACAATCAAAACCATCAGAAATTTTTTATTAGGGTACGTTTACACGACAACGATGTAGCTACTAAAAACAGAAAAGTTTTTCCTTCGCATTTTCCACCTATACAGGCGACAAAGATGTCAAAACAATCCCGTTCACACGGATCTGCGAAAAAAGATTAAAAACGCTGTATTCTGCTGCTAGGCCAGTAGTTCTCACTTTGTAGACTGAACACGTAAAACGCATGAGCATGACGTCAGTGTTTTCACAAATTCGCATATTTGTAGTTTAGAAAGAAAACCGAACAGTATCGTTGTCAAAACTTGCACTTTGAATCCTGTTTTCAAAGGTTTGCGTTTCCAGGCCACCAAAACGCCATTGTCGTGTAAATAAACGTTCAAAACGCATAAAAAGTTTCCCATTTGTAGTTGAACATGGTGTTGTGTAAACGGCCCCTTAATCAGCAATGCGGAGATTTCTAAGTGGTCCTCACTGCAGTGCCAAATGATGTTAGCTCCTCCCCTCTGGACGTAATGGGTGGAGCTTGACCTCCAGCTGGTTAAGGGTGTGGTTGGACTGTCTAGCTCCACCCCTTACGTCCAGCTGGACTTCAAGCTCCACCCATTGGCTTTGCAGTGAGCGCCTCTCGAGATTTTAGGCCAGTGAGATTTCACTGTGGGCGGGGCTACCCAGTGTGAAGCCAAATAAATAGAAACCTATATCAATGTGTTCTATCGTTTTTCAAGGTTGTTGGCTGGTTAGAACAAAATTTGTTTTAAGAGAGAAAGCTTTATCGTGTCATGGGTAGCACCAACGCTATCTCACGACCAATTCGTCCGAATTTGACGAGTGATTAAAAGATGGCTAATTCGTACGAATTCGTACGACCTCACTCGTACGATTTGTCTAAACCCACGTGATGGGTAGGTTTAGGGGCGGGGTCAGGGGTAGGTCATTCGTACGAATTCATACGAATTGGGCAACTCGTCAAATATGTACGTTTTAGCAAAAATCGTACTAATTCGTACGAGTGAGGTCGTACGAATTGTTACGAATTAGCCATCTTTTAATCACTCGTCAAATTCGGACGAATTGGTAGCACAGTGTAACTACTATTGTTAGAAGGAGCTTATACCCTTGTGAAAAAGAAGTACTTTTAGCATATATTTAAAAGGAGTACTATAAATGAAATAATATAATCAAGTGCAAGTTGAATTAATGTTTTCAGATATTTCATTTCATGTTATACACAATTAAATACAAATGTATTTAGTTTAAATTTGTTAAATGTGAGTAGTTAAACTTAAGAGTGCTTTTTCACCCATTTAAGTAGGACTTACATCTTTAATTTCATAATTGCTTTGTTGTTTTTGAAAGTGTGATGTCGAATGGTAAACTAAAATATGCTTTAATGTCATTTCTATTGAAATGTGTATGTCATGTATTTAGATATACAAGTTGCAATTTAGTATATTTAAAAATATTTAAAAGTAATATCGAATAACACTACAGTTACAAGTCACAAGGGCATTGTTTTGCACGTTTCGGTTATTCCAGTTTACAATATTTTACAAACATTCATATGGTAGCAGTAGTATATTACTGAATCAGCCTCTTTTAGGTGTATGAATTTGTAAATGGGAAAAGAATATATAATATAACGTTCAGTTAAGACAACTGCTCAGTCACTCTTAAATATTCAACCATTCATGGTGGAAATTTAAGCACATTGCTAGTCATTTCTCCTGACAGGAATGAACAGACGTTTACTCACCCCAAGGTAATAAAACATTAGAGTGCTGCAGAATTGGCAGTGTAATCATTCATCATTCAAAAGACTTCTCACCAAATTGGGTGAAATTATGATGCTGTTCATTTATTTCAGAAGCAACCATTTTAGAGTATCAATGAAGTATACAACTCTTTGAGATGTGTGTTTAGGTCAATAAAACGGATATATGTATGTATATAAAAATACCAAAACATGAATTAATTGATTGATTAGCACTCTCAGCCTCCAGCTGGACAGATTTCAGTGGTCAGATGAATCCGACTCTTTAGCTGGTCGCTCCAGACGCCCCTGCTTCGGCTTGGTCTTCAGGAGGGTTTACCTGGTTCAGCAACAGGAGCTTCAGCAAAGGATCCAAATACTCCATGATGGTCTCCTTCACTCCTTTCTCAAGCAGGTAGCCCTCGGTTTCGATCTCCACATTCTCCTGTCCAGCAACGGCCTCCATAGACGTATGCAGGAGGCGCACACTGGCCAACACTGAGCTCTGTAGACGAGATGCCATTGATATGGAAAATGAAATGGGTGGTTAGTACAGGTATAGTAGAAATCAAGATAAAGGTTATAAAATATTAACTTAAAAAGATATTTATTAACAGGAATTTCTGGGTGTTTATTTGTGAAATTATATATACTAAGTGTATGTACTGAAATTTACCCTTTTCTGCCACACTTGGTAGCCTAGTTATCACAAATGCATTTCAGTTACTGTAAGACAGAACTTATTCATATCAACTGAGGTGATGTATGAATTTATGGTAACACTTTACAAAAAGGACCCATTAGTTAATAAAAAATACTGCTGTTCATTGTTCATCTCAGTTAGATTAAATAATATCAACAGATACCATTTTAATAATGCATTAATAATTGACAACATTAACTAAGATTAACAAATGCTTTAGAACTTTTTCATTGTTGGTTCGTGTTAACTAGTGTAGTAAAAAACAAAATTACAAACAGAACCTTATTGTAAAGTGTTGCCCAATTTAGCTTTTGTAGCATAGGGGTAGTTTAAAAAGAGATTTAAGTAAACTAAACTGGAAAATGAAATTGGCTAAACCTTGTTGTCCACAAACCAACTGATATTAGTTAGGGTAGACAGCATATTTGATTTTTAATGCGAATGAAAACAAAGTGGTGATCTGTTCAATGTCCATTCAGTGCTGTATATTGTCTAAAAAGGTGGTTGAAGGTTTGATTTTCAAAACTCATGCTATATATATATGAGGTTTTTTTTTTCGTATCTTGGAAATTTGTTGGAAAGATTAAATATTTCCTATTCTACCGTACACAACACTACAATCCATTGAATTCATTGGTATGTCTATCCCTCTCTAGTCTTAGCCTTAGATGTCATGCCCACGCACTGTTGGCTGGGCGTCTGATGCATATGGCACACAAAATTGGAAACACTTCAGGAGTTTCGAAGTCATCATTTGAAACTCTACAGGTTGAATTCTACAGTATTTCCGGGAGACATATGTCTAGTGTTCTTTAACGTTCCACCCTTTGTGATGCCAAACCCCCTCATGGAGGAAGAAAGCTGTCGTGTTTTCAACTCAATGACAATGAGCGCTAACCAAAATCAACTAAGTTGACGGCATACTTCCAAGAGTTTTACATGGCGGTCTGTTATTGTTGGGACATCGACTTTACATCTTCACGACCTAAATATGGCCCTGAACAAAACGAACTGTGATTGGTTGCTTTACATGTCAGTCAGACGGCCTCCTGGTTGGTCCTTGGCCAATGAAAGCTCCAGACCTTCTGCCATCAAACTGAAGGTCTGGCTACGTGAGACTAATCCCTCTCATTTTAATTTATGTTTGAATAAATATGGTGTCTACCCTGATTAAGGTCCATTGCGTACAAGCAAACCTGTGACAATGTACCTGAATCATAAAGACAGAGAGAACCGCAGCTCCAATGGTGTTCATCAGACCCATGTAATAGTTGACCAGGGCTTCTCTGCAACCATGAATGAAGAGGTTGAGTTCTTCGGTCTCATGCTCGTAGTTGTAGTGGGCAGAGTTGTTGGTGATTTTGTATTGGATACAGGGTCTGGGAGAACTAGGGTTACAGCAACTGAAGGGCACGCCGTCAACCAAGTAACGGCCATCCACATTGCTCTTAATGCGGCTAGAGGATTGAAGATGAAGAAAATGGAAGAAAAGAGCATTGAATGATTGCAAACTGTCATGGCAGGTCATATGAGATAGTTCTAAAAATTGAAATTTTCCTCACTTGTACTTTATGCTTTTTATTTAATTGTACCTTTGTGCATTTATACAGTGCAGTTATATTTAACATTTTCATTTGCGAAATGCGGTCATTTCAATAATAGTAATACATGCAATTGGGAATCTCCCACACAGATTTTGAAGTTCAGTTTGGTCACATGGACCACATTGACCAATAGAAAGCTGCTTGGTTTGAAAGTGACTTTTGTGTGAGCTACATCGCTACACTATTGACGATAAACAATGGACCTTTTTGCTGACAAATTTCACTAATGTGACTGTACATTTATTAACAGACACATGAATGTCTGAGTCAACGTTTGCACCTTTGTCTTGATAGCATGGCTATAACATGACATATAGCCTATAATAACACGCTCTCACACGGTTTTTTTTAAGCATTGTTGGGAGGAGTAAAATTTACATATGTGGTTGCATCAACAACCAGATGCATTTAGACTTGACCAGTTTCGTCCAGAATGCGTCTCAGATCACCTCCTGAAGTGCTTTTAGTGATTGGATTTAAATCCGTCTCGAATGCGTTTCGGAGGGTATAGCTATCTGATCAGAGAAAGCACATGAAGTGACCAGGAGTAAACAGGCCCTAAGGTAACTACATGGGTTAGGATTAAGGTTAGGTTTAGGGGTAGGTTCAGGGTTAGTACCTAGTTATCATCCAGTTATTGTAAAATGGGGAACGGGACTGTAAAATAAAGTGCTGCCAATTTTTCAGAACTAATTTCAAATTTCTAAGCCATTTTGGTCTCAAAGTGATTTTTGTGCAAGGTCAGTATAAAGTCTGAAGTCCTCCTCAAGTTCACATAGGTGTCCTAAGAAGAGTAAGCGCAGAGATAGTTTACCCAAAAATGCCCAATACCATTTACTCAATTACCAAATAAAGGGATAGTTTATCCAAAAATGAATATTCTGTCATCATTTGCCTACCTCCATGTCATGGAACTTTAGTATGCATACTAAACCTGTATGCAATTATTTATTCTGTGGAACACAAAGGAAGATTCTTGGATAATTCCCATACAATGAAAATCAATGGGGTGCACTGTTGTTTTGGACCCCAAAATCATTGTATGGACAAAAACAGTTGAAACATTCTTCAAAATATGTTCTTTTGTGTTCTGCAGAATGACATACAGAACTGGACATGAAGGTGTGTAAATGATGTCAGAATTTTCATTCTTGGATGAACTGTTGTATCCTTTAACACTTTTAATTGACATTTCCTTTGACTCACTCCTTAACTTCCTTAGAGCTGAAATCCAGGTAACGGTTGCTGATCCACTGCACCTCAAACCAATCCCTGTAGTCGCTGTTTCCACAGCACTGGAACTCCATCTGAAGGCGATCAATGGTCTGCTTCTGGTAGCAGCGGCCAGGGGTATCGGTGTCCTTGTAGAAGCGAATGCCGTTCTTCAAGCCGATTTTCAGCGAGGACTCTAGGTTTCCCATCATGGCGTAACTCAAGATGACTGAAAACAGCATGAGGGTGGTGAAGAACATCGAGCATCCATAGAAGGGCTTCAGGAAGGTCTTCCATTGTGGGAAACGACCCGGATCTAGGGCGTCCTGGCAGATTCGACTGGCAAAATAATTGATGCCCATTGAAGCCAGACCCACAATCAACAAGGTGTTGGGCACACAGTGGATGTCTGTGTTGTCCATTACCTAAAGGACAGGAGGATGTTGATGTCAGTCCATTTTGAGCTCAGATTGTATTGCGCTCACTGTGTACATTGAGTTTGCTTCAATGGTTAGCTCAATCAAAAATCAAAGTTCTGTCATTAATTACTCATCCTCATGTCGTTCCAAACCCGTAAGACTGTCGTTCATCTTCAGAACACAAATGAAGAGCTTTTTGATGAAATCTGAGAGCTTTCTGTCCCTCCATTGACAGATACGCAACTACCTTCAAAAAGTTCATAAAGAGATCGTAAAACTAATCCATATGAATTGAGCGGTTTAGTCCAAATTTTCTGAAGAGACTCGATCGCTTTATATGATGAACAGATAGAAACGCAACACGTTTGATCTTCCACAAGAACCAATGAGGTTTGTTCTCGCGCGTCAAGCCTGTTCGGTTGAGCTTCCATGTTCGCTGATCAATGTTTAAATGTGAATAAAAGCCTAAATTAAATCTGTTCATCATATAAAGCGATCGAGTCTCTTCAGAAAATTTGGACCGCTCAGTTCACATGGATTAGTTTTACGATCTCTTTATAAACTTTTTGAAGCATCAAAGTGGTAGTTGTGTATCTGTCAATGGAGGGACAGAAAGCTCTCAGCTTTAATCAAAAAATGTGTTTTTCCGAAGATGAACGAAAGTCTTACGGGTTTGGAACGACATGAGAGTGAATAATTAATTACATAACTTTCATTTTTGAGTTAACTGTCCCTTTAAACAATCTTTGGAGAGTGAGCAATGTTTTATTAGAGTAGATATATAAATCAGTGTAGAATAAACAAAGTATGTTCAATAATTTTTTTTAATAAGAGAAAGCTTTTGGTTGATACGTTAAAAGCACTGAGTTGTGGCTTTGTTTTCCATTATGTTTACAGAGAGATTCGAGTGAATTTGATAATCCATTGGGACTGTTGTAAACCAATTAGTAACTCCCTAAGCTTCATCAAAGGATTTTTCCTTGCTTACTTTAAAGAAAAAAAAAATTAAATCAGAATTTCCTTTCTATTACACATAGTATAATCATTCTCATTTGGTGGGTGTGTCAATACAAATATTGGTGTGAGTAACTAGACATGCATGGCCCTCTTCACTCTTTATCAGCTGGTTGATTATGACCCATCTAGACGGTTGAAGAGCTCATTTGCAAAGGACAGTTCCTTAAGCCAATTATGACCGGCTTAGATAATATTTATATTCACTTGGGTTAATCCATGCCAGATATTTCTGAATCGTTTGAGCCCTTAACATAGTTATTTAGTCATTATTAAGATATTTGTCAATTTACAATAGAGATTCTATAAACTTCCATAAACTAAATCAAGGCCACTACTAAAATATATATATATAGAAAAAACACCTTTGCACAAAAGGTTACTCACACTGTTGCTAACACTGAATGTGTCAATGGCAATTTTAAAGCTCAAAACGAATTATTGCATAACACATGGAATTATTAGCAAAAAACATCAAGCAGATGAAAAATATGAGGGTTAAAACTAAGGATACCTCTCCCCTCCTTCGAAGCTCAGTCTTTAGGAAGCATCCTAAAGTGAAGGTAACCGCTCCACCCAGAGTTGAAATCCATGAGAGCAGCCACAAACCCTGGGCCAACTTCACCCTTTTCTGAAAAGTGAACTTCATCTTACCCACAACCATTGTGAAAGAGTATTATGATGTAAACTTGAGAAAAAAGGGAAGACTAGAAGTGTGTGAAAAAATACAAAACTGTTCAAACGTTGTCAAAATGTGATCTCTTCTGAGAGTTAGGTTGGAACTGCTGGAGGTTCAAATTTTGCGGGAAAGAAAAAGAAAAAAGAAATCTGTGCAATCCGTTAGACTTCGTTTGTTAGAATATAAGATCAATTCAATTTCATCCAAACAACGCAGCCGCTATTCTGTATGTCGGTGTCACTTAATCCGATTTTTGTGTGGTGATCCCCCCGTAGCGATGCCCACTCAGTGGTGACAGTGGTGCCCTTCCACCTCCATGCCCATGCTTGGGTGAGACACACTGAATTTGGCCAAAGTTAGAGGTCTTGTGCGTCTTACCTGTAATCCATAAACGATCCTATTACAATGGCCCTCTCCAATGGGAAACAAGGCCACTGTCTGCTCAGCAAAGCATGCAGTCGCTGCACTGCGTCACATATGTAGAGGATAAAGATGATGAATAACGACAAGGAAGAGATTGAAAGGGCTATGATAGCCACCCATGAAGAAATTAGGAGGCAGCCATTGTGCTTAAAGCTGTCTTTAAAGTGCTGAATTTTGTAGACTTTAGAAATTATTAGGACCGTTGCCTTCCTTTTGAAGTTCAGACTAGTTCTAGAGCGTCTCTTGGTTTAGAGGTGAAGATTCTGTATAGGCGGCCATGAGAGCAACCAAAGGGAAGATCCTGTTATTGTGCTTAAATATAAAAACAAAAACACCCATATAGATTGAAAGAAAAAAAGAAAAGACTGTAATTCACACATTAACAATCTTCATCCATTTTCTGATCTGCCCAACCCAACCCATTTGTGGGAAGGATAGGACGTTACGCATCAACAAACTTCACTTCTCTTAAAAAAATGAAGGATTCAAAAACTTTTATGAGAACCGAATTTGTTTACAATAAAAAATATTTCAATCATGCCAACTCTCTGAACAGTTTTAGGGCCAGATTTACTAAATAGGGCAAATTAGCGGGAGAGCGCAAAACCATGAAAGCGCAGATGGGAGTGGAAAGTTCTGCACATGATCTACTGACGATGCGCAAATTAAAGAGAACAGACGTAGCTGGATCATTTCCATAATGACCAACGCAATCTATCAGTTAGCGTCTGGTTTAAGACTTAAGACTTTAAGACTGGCTTTTTTGGGGCAGAAAATAATGGTGCAAACCTTAGTAAATCACCTTGCATGATTCATTTAAATACTCTCCCCCCATAAATCTGAAAGGGAAACTCCTACAAAAGTTATGCAAGCAGCCATATCACCCTGTAGCCCAAGACTGGTTGCCCACTGAAGGGCTGAGCCTGGTCAGTACCTGGATGGGAGACCTCCTGAGAAAACCAGGTTGCTGCTGGAAGAGGTGTTAGAGAGGCCAGTCGGGGGCGCTCTCCCTGTGGTCTGTGTGGGTCCTAACGCCCCAGTATAGTGACGGGGACCTTGTACTGTCAAAGAGCACCGTCCTTCGGATGAGACGTTAAACCGAGGTCCTGACTCTCTGTGGTCATTAAAAATCCCAGGATGTCTTTCGGAAAAAGAGTAGGGGTTTAACCACGGCATCCTGGCCAGATTTGCCCATTGGCCTCTGTCCATCATGAACCCCTAATCATCCCTATATACTGATTGGTTTCATCACTGTCTCCTCTTCACCAATAAGCGTGTGGTGGGCGTTCTGGCTGCACATTGGTGGTGGTTGAGGAGATTCCCCCTAAGTAAACCACTTTGAGTACCTATAAAAGCGCTATATAAATATAACAAATTAATTATTAGTCAGCCAAAAGATGGATTGCACTGGCACAAGCTGTTAGTTAATCCGACCTTTAGCATGTTATTTAATATGCAGTGTTAATGTATTTGGTATGGCTGGATCTGCTACGCTGCTGCTGCTACAGAGCAAGTATGGACTTGCTACTGCTATAAATACACAGACAAGCTGCTGTGAGGATGTAAGATATGCTGCTGCAGAATAAATAGATATACATAAATCCCGAGCAGATCTAGACAGGAGGAGCTGGGGGAGGTGGAGGGGTTCAGAGAAAGCAGGACTAGCCTACAACAAACAATGAACCAGACTATTTAAATGCTGAGCAAGCAATCTCATTGACAGCAGGATCAGAGGCCAATTAGCTTGCGCCATGCGGTAATGATACGATATCAGCGAGTGTCATGACTGAAATATAGTTTAACATTAAGCGGGGAAACACCTTGGACAGGGGGCCAGTCCATTCCAGAGCTCACACACCAGACACACTTCCATTCACACCTACAGGCAGTTTTTGTCTCTCCAATTCACCTATCCTGCATATCTTTGGTTTGTAGGAGGAAACACTCGCTGACACGGCGAGAACATGCAAACTGAACTAACATGAACTAACAATAAACAATCCTTCAAAAGCATTTATTAATATTAGCAAGTGATAATTTCAAAATTTACTAAGTCATTTTTAAAATCAAAAGTTTTATCTGTAAACATTAGTTAATGCACTGTGAACTTTCTCACTTTACATTAACAAAGGTTAATAAATGCTGTAAAAATATACTCAGTGTTAGTTAATGCATTAACTAATGTTAACAAATGAGAGCTGATTGTAAAGTGTTACCGCGATGTACTTACATGGATGTACAATAACGTTCTTGAACTTTGCTGAGATGCCATTAGCTTTTGATTTCATTTCAGTTCTTTAATCTAATTCCAGCTTAATTACTATACTCACTAGTCATTTAAATGACTTGACATGAAATACTTTGGGGAATTTTAATTATTCAATGTTTGGTGGTCTGACATACACATGCACTTTATGTGTATTCTTATTTTAAACAACTTTCATATTAATTGGGAGACTACATGAAATATTTTTTCTTTTTTTACTTTTAATCATGCATTTGTTTACACTGAAGGGCAATATAACTATTATAAAATGAGCTAAAAAAATAGTAACCAAAGACTACTCATATACAGTATATAATAATTATAATAACTTTATTTTCTATTATTTATGGATGTATCTTTAACTGTCTTTATTGTCAGGTTTTTAGTTATAGGAATTCAGGTGCAATTGTATGTAAATGATTTAATAAAACTGCATACACTACACACTGAAATGAATATAAGAGGCTTCCAACATTAACATTTGTTCTACTTTCATTTATTTATATCAGCATAGTTATAGACATTAATACAAACTGCAACAGCAAGGCAATATAGGATGATGCATTATAGAGTTTGTAGAAGCGGGCGCACCGTTTCATACCACTATTTAAACAAAATCAAAACTGACATTCTACAGCAACATCCTATGAGGTTTTTATTCACAATGTTCTTATTCTTTAATGTTCTATTATATTGTCGTACACACAAACAACATGCATTACGTTTAGAATTTATGTTTAATTTTTCTAATGGAAAAACATTTGGAATGAAAAATATTGCATGGAAAATGTTTTTCTTACCTTTTGCTTTAAAAAAAAAAAAACTGTATGTGAAGTATAGTCTTAAAGACACGACTCCCTTTACCTTAGTTTTTCACTCCTCCTTTAATCAATCAATGTTTTTTAACCTATGTATACCTCTTCGAGTTGCTGCTATGGTTATCAGACACAAATAAAGCTTTAGAAGTAAGAGTATTAGAATAATTACAAATGCATAAGCACATGCACTCAGACAAAACATTAAAAATGCAAATAAATATTGAGTAAATATGAATAATATCTACTGAGCAGGATTTACAGCTTAAATTATTTCAGCTTAAAGAATTTTGTCTTTATAAATACCAAACCCAAGAACTATCCGTCTGACTAGAATCAAGAAAACAATGTGAGATCATCTTGTGGCATCAAGATCTTTAGGGGATCTAGCGTTCTCTACAGGTGAATACGTCAACAACAGAGAAAATCAAGATGGAAAATCAGATCAATGCGGATCTTTCAGTGGTGAAATATCTTTCACTATGATCTAAAACTATAGAAACCATCTTTAAAGTCGTCATGAAATAGCATTCGCATCCCACTTTAATTCTCTAATGAGATATTATTGCTACTGAAACTGGATGTTCAGGGGGGAAAAGGCAGGGACTTGATTTTATCCATCAGGAATTAATTAAAGAATGAAAAGAATGCAAGCAGACCAGAATATGAGTGCGCACATGATCCTCATATTAATTTCAGCCTCCATCTGCTGGGAAGCGAGGCTGAAAGTCAAGTTCACCCATCTATTTTTCATTACTCTTATTGCTGTAATCTTTATTACATTAATTAGCAATACACATCAACCAGCATTAAATTGCTACATTAACTATTAGCAAAATGCTATATACAGTAGTCACAATGACGTATAAATCTCTTTTTTTATTGCCAAAGTGAACAGCTTGACGAGAAGTTGTATATGAAATACTGATTTTTATGTGAAGGAAATTCAAAGTATGTAGCGTTTTCATCCATTCAATGACACATGCGATGAATGCTTATACAATGTTCAGGAAAATGATGAAAGAGCCATTCTGTACTGAAATATCAATGTGTCATGCAAAGAAAAGGGATTAATTCAAACTATAGTCTCACATAACCAGATCTATAAAGTCCGTAGTCTCGAATATACTTTATAATCAATCATAACCTTAAAGGTAAAAAAATAAATTGTTACCTTATCTACCTGTGAAATGCAGAGCTGGTGCAAATAGATCCACATTGCTATGATCAAATGCTTTCTTAACTGCTGTTTTGTCATTTGTGTTATTGAGAGGAAAGTGCGCAGCACATATTTACATATTCGTCTAAAAACGAATCAGCAGCGTGAATGTTTGTTAACAGTATATCACTGCAAAAGTATTTACAAGTTGTTTTTACTATTAAGCGAAGAACGAAAAAGAACTTTGTGAGTATATCACGTTCAGTCTCTTCTCACGTTACGTGTGCACAAGCAATAAGTTGCTGGCTGCAGTTCACTTAACATCCACCGGTGTCGCTATCGCTAATAACAAAGGTTTCTGAATTCTACATATAGCCCCTTTAAGACTTCACTAAATCTCAACCTAAATTCCAACTTTTTACAATTTAATTTTTTTTTTTTTTTTTTAATTGGTGATAAAATATGGTGGAAAATATTTGTGACAAAGTCACTTTGGCAACATAAGTACTAATATAATAAATATTCGCCATTTTAAAATGTCCCTTTAATCACAAGTGTGTACTCTCTCCATCATGAATATAGTGGTTGAGCATTTTTTGAGCAGACTCCAGACCAACCATCCCATTTAAATGCTCTCCAGCACCATGGCTGTTCGCTTCTCTCCAATCACATTCAATCTCATCCTCGTACAACACTTGCCTGGTGCAAACTTGTGATTGGTGGAGGTCCATCATGGATTTATGATGATCCTGCTGCTGCTCTTGCTGCTTCAGAATCCCTATGGAGTGGATCTCTTCCAGACTAGCAGAGAGTACACGAATGGGAGAGCCCAGATTACGTACATCTGTGATGTGGTAGCCATCGCAATCTGGATCATCAGGACCCTGATTGAAGCAGGCCAGGCTTACATCAGCCATAGGAATCGGTAAGGTTTCGGGGTGAACGGTGAACTTGAGATGTGGTATCTGTAGGCCGTGAGGAGGTTGATGACATTTGCTCTCCTCACCCCCAGATTCGCTCTCCGTATCCACATTTCCCTTTGAATATTGGTTCAACCCCCCCCAACAGCCTTGCCTCTGCTGCCATTGGTAATACGATGCGTTTCCATGATTTCCCTGCGAACCCCTCAAGACGCAGATCTGTGCCTCCTCTCCCATTTCTGACCAGTCAGATTCCTCCTCCTCTGGGAGTGTTCCCAGCGACTGGTCGTCGCCATGCATTGAGACTTTGTCGTAACGGTCACTATCCATGAACTGAGCTGGAGGTGGTGCGACTGGAAGTGGAGTCATGGGATCGTCAGACTTCAAATGTTTCACCAGGGCATCCTGTAGCATTGATGTCACCTATAGTATAATGGAAGGGTATAGGAACGTCATTAAATTAAGGAAAATAATTCTGATTAGAGGCATATTTGGAATAACCATGAACTAATTATTGTACATAAGAATTAATGTAATATAATTGTAGGGCTGGGAATCGATTTAAAAAATAATGAATGCTTGGTACACAAGATATTCTGGCCGATTTTGGACCGATTTCTCCCTTTCGAAAATCCTAGATAAAGTCCAGATTATCTTGATGGCTCTGCAGATTATTTGATCAGATGTTCCTGTGGTGTGAGGTGTGTTAAGAGTGACTGAACCTGTTTGGAAGAACGTCGGAGCCGCCCCAATCTTGAATGTAAATGTTGAATATTCATGATCAGAAATCCTGTTGTGTGGGGGAATCCTGAAGACAAACGTGCGCACGCTCTGGAGATTATCACGTGAAACGAAACAATATCCAATCAGAAGGCGAGCTGACGGAAGACTCACCGCTCGCGCTGTAACATGTAAAGTCCATGTTCACACCGTCTCCACGACTTCAAAAATACACTTACGCACCATACACTTTAAGCGCCATTTCTTCTTGCCAGTCTTCCGCCATGTTTGTTTACTTTAAAGTCACATTTAATGAGAGATTTTTGTGAATGGATTCTGTTAGTGTGTGGTGTTCTTTCCTGATCACATCCCGGCACACTAGAGGAACAAAACGGTTAAATCTATGATTTCTTATCATCATGTTTGTGGTCTCTCACATTTTTTGAAAATCTTATAAGATTTTAAAAATCTTTTAGTGTGGCCCCAGCTTAAAGGGATACTCCACTTTTTTTGGAAATAGGCTCATTTTACAACTCCCCCAGAGTTAAACTGTTGAGTTTACCGTTTTTTAATCCATTCAGCCGATCTCCGGTTCTGGCGGTACCACTTTTAGCATAGCTTAGCATACATCATTGAAGTGGACAAGACCATTAGCATTTCTAAAAAAAAAAAATGACCAAAGAGTTTTGATATTTTTCCTATTTAAAACTTGACTCTTCTGTAGTTACATTGTGCACTAAGACCGACCCACTTTTCTGCCGTACCATGAGAGCAGCAGGCGTAATGATATGACGCAGCGCCTGAAAATAGTTCCGTTGTGTTGACGGAAGGTAGCCTATTTTCAGGCGCTGCGCCATATCATTACGCCTGCTGCACTCATGGTACGGCAGTGAAGTTTCTTGATTATTATGCAGGAATGAGAGTATAGTTCCTAGCCATATCAGCCTAGAAAATCGCAACTTTACATTTTCCGTCGGTCTTAGTGCACGATTTAACTACAGAAGAGTCAAGTTTTAAATAGGAAAAATATCAAAACTCTTTGGTCATTTTTTTTTTTAGAAATGCTAATGGTCTTGTCCACTTCAATGATGTATGCTAAGCTATGCTAAAAGTGGTACCGCCAGAACCGGAGATCGGCTGAATGGATTCAAAAACGGTAAAACTCAACAGTTTAACTCTGGGGGAGTTGTAAAATGTGTTAGGAATCAAGAATCGATTGATTCTGATTCGATCAAAGATAATCAACTCCTTTTTAATAGCATTTTTCAGTTCAAAAGAGCTAATCATTCATTCACGTCTTGGTCCCTAATGCTGGGGCCACGCCACAAGATATTTGAGCCGATTTCTCCCCTTCCGACAATCCTAAATGAAGTCCCGATTATCTTGATGGTTCTACAGATAGTCTTATCAGATTTTCCTGTGGTGTGATGTGTGTTAAGAGTGACCGAACCTGCTCGGAAGAAAATTGCCCCGATCGCGAATTGTAAATATTCAACGTGTCGCATGTAACGTGTCAATATAAACATTACTTATTATAAAAATAACAAAATCAAACTCTTACATTAATGGTCTCTAGACTTTGGATGGTTGTTTTTGCCGTAGACAGTTGATCTGAGAGCTCAGAGATTCGCTGGTTCAGTCGCTCACGCTCTCCATCCATATTCTGTGCCTAAATTGAAGTAACAAGACAGACAGATGTAACAAAGTAAAATTTAAAACAAATACAAGTTGTTTTGAATTTGAAAAGTGCTTGTGTAAATTAATGGTTTATTGATATGAGATTATGAATCCATTAAAGCCAATGTACTTAATTCCTTAGGGTGGAACTACTAACTAAGATTGAAGAATTAAACTGCGCTTTACCACACAATGCAGTTTTTTCTCCAGAAGGTGGTTGGTTTGTTGTGTGGAAGAGTAGTTGTCCTGAAGTCTGATGAAAGAGAAAGACATTTCCTTACCCCAATACACTTTAACAGAATAACAAGAACTGTAATGTAAAGTTTTCAGACACTTAAATGGTTAGTTCACCCAAAAATGCCGCGAGAATACTTTTTGTGCGCAAAAACAAAACAAAAATAACGACTTTATTCAACTATTGCCTCTGAGTGAGTTCACGAGAGCGCCACGACGCATGCGCGAGAACTGAGAAGATGACGCACATGGGTCTCGATGTAGTGTTTAAAATGGTTCTAAAGTGTGCATTTCCTGGATGTCCGAATCGTGAGAAACCAACAAGAAAGCGTAAAAGTGCTTTACCAATGCCGCAAAATGAATGGCTTACCTTTCACACTTTCCCATCAGTTGATCGTGAGCATCATCTTCTCAGTTCTCACGCATGCGTCGTGGCGCTCTCGTGAACTCAGAGGCCCACACAGAAGGAAATGAATAGTTGAATAAAGTCGTTATTTTAGTTTTTTGCGCACAAAAAGTATTCTCGTCGCTTGATAAACTTAAGGTTGAGCCACTGTAGTCACTTGGACTATTTTAACTATGTTTTTACTAACTTTTCTGGGCTGGCAGATGCAATAACATAGACGCCTATGGAGGAGTGATCCAGCTCTCAGATTTCATCACAAATATCTTAATTTGTGTTCCGAAAATGAACGAAAGTCTTACGGGGTTGGAACAACATGAGGGCGAGTAATTACTGACAGAATTTTCATTTTTGGGTGAACTAACCCTTTATTTGCATGTTAATTAATTAATTAATGATATACTTAATTAAATAAAAATATGTATTATAGTTCAAAGTAATGTTATATGCAATTCGTGGAACTTCAAAGTTTTTTTCTGACCCACTTAAATGGGACTTAAGTACATCTTTATATTAAAATATGGTTGAAGTGTACTGCCCCCAATGTATTGACAAGCATTTATGGTAAACTAATGTATAATTTTATGCAATTTTTTGTAGAATCTTGTATGTCATGTATTTAAATATATTTATGGTTACACATTTGTAATGCTGAAGTTGCAATTGAAAATATATTTACTTTAAATTGTAATAAAGTACTTTACATTTGCTCAGATAAAAATATTAGAGAAACTTGCCGGGCAGTTTCTCTTGTTGGAGCAAATCTTATAAAACTATCAAAAGCTAAAAAAATAATAATAAAAAAAAAACATTTATTGTTAAATGCCATAAAAATTCTTCTTTGTCATAAAAAGGCATGTCTCATATATCCTCTTATAAAAAAAATACATCTGTTGTGTATGAAAAAAAAAAAACTGTATGCAAAATGAATAAATGTGATGATGCGTGTTGGAGGATGTGCACTGCCTGCCAGACCACGAACCCTGACTGAAAGTTTGAGCTCAAATCATGCTAAAAACAGCTTTTTTTGGACTGGTCCATTTTACGTGCATGCATTACATTAACCCAATAGAATAGAATAGAATAGAATAGAATAGAATAGAATAGAATAGAATGTGCTATATAGCACAGTACAATTTAGTCTTGTGTCTCACCTTGTGAATCGCTCCAATAAGCTGTTTAGCTCTATGCGAGTTCTTTGTAACTCAGATTCAATGAGCTGGTGGCCAGTTTTGAATTCAGATCCCATACACTCCATTCGCACAGTGGTCTGCAGCAAGCTGTGGTGGAGAACCTCATTCTGCTCCTGTAACATCCTAGATTGAATCGACAGACACTATGAGTGATGGCATGCCAGGAGGGGATCATTTACATCTGAGTGTGTCTTAAAGCAAATTGTTTCACTACCATCCAAACAAAGCTGAAAAGCAATTTCCAGACCCAAAGTTTAGCAGGCTGCATGCAAAAAAAGAATGCAAAAGTAAACAATGGACTCACGTTAATCTCTCCAATTCTGAGTCCTTTTCCTATGCAAAGGTGAAATTGGTTGCAAATGTGGAAAACCCAACAACAAATGATATAAAATATGTATGTTTTCATTCTACTTTAACACTAAAGAAAAAATACTCACTTTTAGGTATGAGGACGACTCTTGGTAGCTCACTGTGGATTGGTCGTCCTGGATAGTGGAGCTAGCGGATGAATTTGACTTGTTAGAATGAGGAGAAGTGGACCGCTGGCCAACTGGAGAGTGGCGAAGATGACTCGTGTGATCATCATTGTGATGATCCTCTTTGAAGTGGGAATGATAGTGGTTCGATTCGGAATGAAAGTGGTGATGTTCTGTATTGGAATGCTGATTCTGCGATTCTGGGTTGTCATGGTAATGATGGTGATCTTGAGAATGATGATGGTGGGATTCTGGTTGGGAACGATGATGAGATTCTGAATGCTCATGATGTTGAGGATGGTTAGACTCTGGATTGGAATGGTGATGGGAATTTGAATGGGAATAATGGTGGGATTCTTGAGATTTGTGGTGATGGTAATGATCAGGTTCAACAGGGGTGGGTTCATGACTTCCTGAGGGGAAATGTTTTGGGTGAGATTCTGGAGGATCATGATCACTGTGGAGGTGGAGTTCTAAACGGGAAAGGTGTCCTTTAGGATGTGATGCGCTGTGATCTTGGGATTCTGAATGTGTGTTAGGATGATTTTCATAATGATGGGCTGAATTAGAGTGAGCAGGGCCTTTTGGATAACTGTCCGACACGTGATGGTGATGTTGATGAGGACTATGGTGAGAGTCAGTATGAGAAGAATGATAATGGTGTTCCGGTGTAGGGGATGCATTACGAGAATGAGAGTGTTGGCGAGTTTCAGTGTGAGAATCAGAAGTGTGATGGTGTTGGATGGTGTTGGATGAGTGATTAGGATGGGAATGATGATGGTGATGGTGAGATTTGGGATGAGAGGACTCATGGTCAGAATGATGGTGTTGCAATTTCTGAGTTTCTGAGTCAGTAGAAAGATTAGATGTACTACCATGCTCTCCATGGTGGTGGAGAGGAGGAGGCGAATAATAGTGGTGAGATTTTGAACGGGAATGATGGTGGGAAGGTTCTGAAACTGAGGTGCTGTGACGTCCATGGTTGTGATGTGGCGGTGAAGGTGAATGTTGATGGTGGCTGTGGTGGTGTGATTCTTTGTGAGAAGGATGAGCTTCTGGATGGGAAAGATGATGGTGAGTGCCTGACTTAGAAGACTTTGTTGAGCTGCGGTGAGCTCCATGATGGTATTGTGATGGAGAGGGTGAATGATGATGGGAATCTGGAGGAGGATGATGGGAATCTGAAGGAGAATGATGGTGTGATGATGGGCTGTGATGAGTTCCATGGTGCTGATGAGAATCTGAAGGAGAATGATGGTGTGATGATGGGCTATGATGAGTTCCATGGTGCTGATGAGATGGCGATGGTGAATGATGGTGATGAGGTTCTTGATGGGAATGATGGTGATGCGATTCTTGATGGGAATGACGATGGCGGTTTTCTGATTCTGGAGAACAAGGACGTGAAGGTGGGCTATGATAATCTTCATTGTGATGGTGGTGTGTTGGAGATGATTTGTGGTGTGAATTTCGATGATTCGATGAATTGAAATGTTTCTCTTTGGGGGCAATTTGGTGCTGCTTCTGAACTTTGTGACCACGTTCAGTCCCAGATGAAAGACATTTTGAGGAAGAGCTAGTATTGCTTGTATCACTTCTTGCACTGCCATGACGACGCCTGGGAACAGCCTGACGCTGTTGTTGATTGATGAGGTCCCTTTCAGAATAAGGATGCTTGTTGGAGCGGGAGGTCTTGGTTGAATGTGAGTGACGTTTGGAATGGGAGTGCTTACTGGAGTGCGAGCGTTTGCTAACATGGGAATGAGCAGTTGAAGTTATGGAGCTAGCACTGCTTCCCGGCCGGCTTCCAGTAATTATTGACTTCTTTTCACTTTTATGTTCAGGCTTTGGGGACAATGCCTTTGGAGACGTTGAAGTCTGCCCAGGGCTCGAGGGTCTATGAACATGTGTTACCCCAAGGGAAGTAAGTCTTGATGGGCTAAGCACCTGCCTTGTGATTTCGTTCAAAAAGGCAGAAAACTTTATCTTCTCCTTCACAAAGACCTTATGGGCCTCTTGTTTCCTTTTCTCCAGCTCTTTCTCATCCAAGTATCCAGAACCAGCATGATCCACTCGCCTGGATAGAACCTCCATAGACTTGGTCTTTCTTATGTTTGCAGCCGCTTTAGCATGATTCTGTTCTTGCCCCTTATTTCCCTTTTGTTCTCGAGAATACGTTGCCTTCTTGGCAGTCCCTCCACTTTTTTCTTTGACTGTCAAGTTCTTTTCCATGCTTGTAGACTTCTTCTTTTGGCCATTAGCTTCCAATAAAGGCATTGTATCTGCATCATCCTCATCATCCCCATCATCCTCAAAGGCTCTCCGTCCTCTGCTGATATCCATACATGATTGTGAGTGCTGTGGACGTCGAATTGCTCGCTTGGACTCAGAAGCCAATGGGGCTTTTCCCAGACTGGCTTCAGATGACCAAGAAGAACCAGAGGAAGAGGAAGACGAAAAACTAGAATTGGAAAAATATGATTTGGAGGAAGAAGATGAAGAGGAATTGGAGGAGGAAGATGAATCAGAAGAAGAGGAATCGGAACTGGATGAGCTTGATGAAGACTTTGAACTAGAGGAAGACCCAGAAGAGTTTGAGGAAGTCACTGAAGCTTTAGAGTGAGTTTTCTTTTTCATTGTGTGATGTTTATCTTGAGGTTGTTGATAATGACGATGGTGATGATTATGGCTTTTAGCTTGGGAGTGATGATGGTTATAATGATGATGACCACTGCTGCCATCTGAGGCACTATAGATGAAAGTGAAGAAAAATAATTAGTAGCTCAAAGGCACGAATCACTATAACTACTGCTTATTTAAAACTCATGACTTATTTATGTATAAACTCATCCCACACCATTTTTGCTTTACACAATGATACCTCAAAACCATGTTTCTTGAATAGCATAAAGACTTGAAGGTGAGTTCTTTTGACATGGGCTAGTCAGCAACTGCTTAGCAATGCCCATCAACCATTCAGGAGACAGTACTTTTGGTCCTGTTTACACCTGGTATTAAAATGCGTTTTGGTCGATCGTATCACAAGGAGACGAGGGAGACACACCCATTTACACCTGGTATTTTAATCCATCTCTTTTGTCCACTTTGAACCACTTCTGTCCTGATTTCTTCAAGGGAAGGGTCTATGGGTGGGTAAATGTGTAGTTTTTTTTTTTTAGATCTTTCGATCTAATGGACAAAATAAGCTTGTGAAATTTACATATGAACACGACCCGAGACGACGGAAAAACATATGGAGAGCATCAGCTTTTGTTCCTGCTCTGATAGCGGACCACGAAGACCACGTCCTCAAGACCACGCCAAACGCTGTAAGTGTGTGTTACAAATGAGGAATGTTGAGAGAACATTGTGCTTGGTACGTTTTCCGTCTTCAAACCATACTTGGGTCTTCAGCCAACAAAGTTTAAATCCCGAGTGGCTAGCGCGTTTCCCATAAAGTTTACACATTAGATCAGTAGGCGGAGAGTAGGCTTTTTTTTTTTTTTTTTTGGCTGTTTGAACGCATTCGACCACATGAGCGTTTACCGTATGAAAGCAGTCCGGTCAAAAGCGTTTTCGACGACCTCTGGAAGTGGACAAGCTCAAAACTTTTTAGTTTTAAGTGAAGTGACGGCCAACTTTGGTAACCCATACTCGAAATGTGTCCTTTGCATTTAACCCATCCTAGTTAGTACACACACATTAGGAGCAGTGAGTAGTGAACACTAGAGGTGAACACACACCCGGAGCAGTGTGCAGCCATTCACTGCGGCACCCGGGGAGTGATTGGCGGTTAGGTGTCTTGCTCAAGGGCAACTTAGTAATTTCCTGCCGGTATTGAGAATCGAACCCGCAACCTTCGGGTTACCAGTCTGACTCTCTAACCATTAGACTGCCTCCACATGAAGCGTCATTCACATGTGATCCGATCGACCAAAACGCATCTTAATGCCAGGTGTAAACATGGAATAAAAATATTTTTTGTATTGTTTCTAATGTTGTATTTATCAGCATTTTACAGTAATACAATGTTGTGCTTTAAGATAAATGCAACCCCCATGTGTACTGTATATACATTATGCACATTTATATGTATATATAAATTACTTTTTTTTTTATTACATAAATGTACAAAAGTGATTTTATTACAAATGCGTGTAAATCTATCACCTCTTATCTCCATGTTCCTCTGGAAGTTGTGGACCGTGGTGGTGACGATGAGATGAGTGCCGGCGCTCATGGTGAGGATGCTGATGGTGTTGACTATGGTGATGTATCTGATGATGAGCCATTGCCTATGTTCTTGCTTTTTCTCAGAAAGATAATATAACTGAATTGAATAGTTCTTGAGTTGTAAAACTGTTGCAATTTCCTTGATTCCAGAGCAACAAATGTCCTCTGCCTCTCAGTGTAATGGGAAGTACTGTGGGAATAGATATGTTAGAGTTAAAAAAAAGTAGCAAAAAGACAAATGTTGTGCACAAGCATGGCTGACAATTAAAACTATTAGAACATCTGAATAAATTACTGACATTTTAAGCATTGACATTTAGATCATCTAAACAAAAGTGTTCATATAAAATATACTTGATCTAAGACAAATAAACAGGAATTAAAAAAAATCTTAAATACTTAAAAGTTCATTTTATTGCTCTACATTAAAAAGAAAACGTTAGCTGGTTGCAATATCTTACCGGAAAATGGTTACAGAGAAACGAAGCCAGACTTCCTCAAGGGATCTACGAAAAATAAGTATTGTGTAATACCAATTTAAAAGCACAATTGCAATACTTAATTCCAAAGGGGGAAAAATACGAAAATGCCTATTATAAGCCACACCAAACAAATGCTGCGTGTTTGAAGTGTTCGGGAGAGATGATGAGAGCTGTGCTATTTTCACAACTTTTCTATCCATGTCTGTCCGTCCCCTTTATTTGACATGGCTGATTTTCCAGCAGCCATCAGAACAGTGTGAGCATCAGATGTCAATAATTCCTATCACTGTCTGAAGTGCCCATGGCAAATTTGTGCAACAATGGTAACAGCATCAATTTAAAGCTAAAATAACTCTTGAAGGGGAGATTATTTTCCATTATAGGCAGTGGCCACTTTATTATTATTATTGGGGCATCAGGTTAAATAAGCTGCATGCATGATTTTATTCAATTATATGTATTTTTAGGTCCTTAGAGATTATTCATAAATGTTTAAAAAAAGAGTTCATCTTTTGATTTGACCTTGTATATGGTTGTTAGGTCATATAAATAAAACGTTGATAAATTAGTAACCTTTTTTTTTTTGCTCTATGGTTCATAGTTTCCTTTGCTTCAGGCCTGGGCTTGTGTCTGTCATCACTATTGATGCATATGTTAATGCAACAGAGATGAGGATGGAATCATTGAGAATCAATTTAAATTTACAACATTAAACACACGTTCACAGGCACATGTTTTCCCTCACCATCCATGCCAAGATTTAACAATGTGAAACATCAGAATCACTTCACTGGAGACCTAAATGTCAAAAACATTGATGAAGCTAAATATGATTCAGAAAAAAAGATGAATACATAACTTCACACAAGTTCAGTGTTTATAACAAATACAATCACAGATGGTACTACTTCATATTACTCACAGCCATTGTCATATAAATAAGAAATAATCGACCTTTAAAGTATATAGACTGAATGTTCACAGAAAAACAAGCTACATGTAAATAATCATCAAGACTTGCAGTATTAAAGCGACTTGCCCTATGCTTTAGGTATTATGAAATGCATTTTGCATGAATTTTGTTGCGTCACACGAACAAATAAAGTGTAAAAAAGGACAAAATTCCACTATTTATTGCAAATCCCATTGATTTTCTTGGTTTTGTCTTTCCTGAGCAGTGGCTAAAATATGGATACGTTCATCTCAGAGAAGTCCAGCTTTCTTAAAAGTCTTTCTCAATACCTGACAATGTCTATTTAGAGGACCGGAGTGCAAATTCTGACTGGAACTTCAGTTTATTTATCACTTTCTAAAGTTTCATTAAACTGCATATTTTAAATGTAATTTAAGATTCTACTAATTATTTGTTGCAAAACAATATAGAGACCATGCTCTGCTGCACTGTCTAACAATGCCATTTATTTTAAGACTGTACTCCTAAAGTAATGCAACCTCTTGTACCTTTTTGCTTAACACATATGGCTGTTTTAATGCTAATATACACTGTAAAAAAACAACAACTATTTTTCAAGTTGTAAATACATTACTGGAATACGTTTTACAAGAAAATACTGTTTCAGTCTTTCTACTTCAAAAACTAATGTTTAATTTAATGTATTTCTTGCTGTTTCTTTGTAATTATTTGCGGAATTTACATGAGTGGAAATTGTTTCAAAGTCAATCCTAACTTTTTCAGTGCAGTTTTAGATGAAAGACAATATCCAACTGTGATGACCATATTCATAAGAGCCAAAAACACCTTTTGCTTAAATATAAACCAGCATCATAGGGAATTATAAACTCGTATTATAAGCGTATGAGCAGATCTCGTGTTTCGTGTATGATGCGTTTCCTATTCGTTCATTCCATTCCGTGCTAGAGACGATCAATGATAAATTGTGTAACACTGGTCAGGCACCCAATCATAATCAATGTCAAACTGCAATGAGATTTAACCTTCAGAAAAAACAAATGAACACAGACGCAAACACAGCTGTGCCCTGTCCAGCCGAGCCAAACCAGGACGATCATTTCCCATCAACTTCCTCTTATTATATAATGCAGAATGCAGAAGGACAATGACTTCATTGCCAGCATGTCTTCAGGAAATATTCACCTCTCATTGATACAGCCAAATTAGATTTAGCAATATTTTGTAATGTTATTCTACTAAAATACACACACACACACACACATATATACATATATATATATATATATATATATATATATATATATATATATATATATATATACCGCATTGATAAGTATAAACCTGTATGAGTTTCTTTTCTCTGTTGAACTCAAAAGATGATATTTTAACCCTCTGGGGTCCTTCGGCCCAAATGGACCCGAAGCATTTAAATATTTATCGTGGTAAATATTTATGGTGCTTTATCGGAATGGTCCGAAATGTGGTGACTTTGTTGGTACTTGGCATATGAACACCCAAAAAAATTGGGGACAGGATTTGAATAGTCTAAGTGGTTGTAAAAAAAATAGTCACACTCAGGACCT